TATATATATATATATAAAATATGCTGTAATAAATAAATCTAATAAAATTTAATTTAAATGGCCAATGAGAGCCGAGAATGGTAATTTTATTTATTAATCTTTATCTGAAAAATAAGTCCAAAATTTAAAAAAAGAACAACTCTCTTTTTATTGTAAAAAATGCTTTATGTACTTTTAACGTTGAAATACTATATCATACCTCTTGATTATAATCTAAATGCGCTTTTTCGTCGCATTTTAAATAATGTCTGCTGTCACTAAGTTCTAATCTTCTCGACAGTAAATGACGTCAGGACGTAGGCAGAGACACGACGTGTTCGCTCTTCTAACTTGCTCTCAAGGTTGCGAACCGCATGCTTGCATAGTAATCTCACTTACGCAATGTCGTACCGAGACATCAGAGACTACGTAATATGCACCAAAGATATTAACAGACAAGATAAACATGATTCAGTAAACAGAACTGGTGCACACTCTCATAAAAGCGTATTACGATATCATGAAAAAATGTGGTTCTCAATATAAAATATTAAGTCAAAATACTCTTTTTCTTATTTAATCAAAAATACTTTACGCTACATTTACTTTCTGAAAATTGAAGTTACTTTAACTAAAAAGTATGAATCTGCAAAAAAATTTATTTCGTTGAACTATCATGCGCAAAACGTGATCCACATATTATGATTCCCTCGTCAATTGTGTTATCAAACTTTCCTTCTGATTACGTTCTTTCATATACTAGCCGTGCTTCCTTTTTTCCTTACATTCGGCAGTATTTCATTTCATAATCACAGATCCTGAACCTTTTTTAATTTAAGACATTTGTCTTTATAACGACTTAATTAAGAGTTATAGAGACCTTGAATAGGGACCTTGGGCCGGTATTTACAGCCGATTTTTATACTCAAAATTAAATACAGTCTTAAATACAGTCTTAAAATGTCATTCACTAATCAAAAATACGCATTAACATCTTAAGACATTATTATATTTGAGACAGTCTTAAAATAAAAACAGATTATAATATAAATACTAGCCTTATCTAGAATAGAAATTATATGAAAGAACAATACTGTGCTTTTTAGAAATAAGCTTTAGTATACGAGAAAAGATTACATGAAAATTTCGTGTTATGTGCGTACGATATTGATGCAGTAATACGTAGTGATCTGTTAATATTTCATAAACCATATACTTATTATGGGCTGTAAACCGTAAATGTGTAAGTCGATAAAACAGCAATTCCCTCAGAGATCCACTTAAGATGACTCTACATGGTCAATAATACTGTCATCAAGCATTAACAAATACTGACAATATTTCTGATCATGTGTAATTAATATTGATGGATAGAATACTGACGGTGATCAGGATTTTAATTTTCGAGCATCTCTTAGAATATTGCTTGATTAGAGATCCATATCACAGTATGTCACAGTGCAAGTAGATAATGTATGTAAAACTACTAAAGTGAAATATAGTATCAATAATACTGATTGTATAAGATTGTAAAAATATTAAGAATATTGATGCATACTGCCAGTATTATTGATTCAATATTACTGATCAGTATTATTAACCGTAGGATCACCTTTACATCTACATAATACTTATTACTTCTGTCCTGACATTGCGACACACGTCGTCCTAGAAAAAACAATTGACTTAGGTGAACCTAACAGAATGAAGCAAACGTACGTGACGAAAAACTTGGCCCATTAATTATAAGAACTCATCGACGTTGTTATTGCATCACTGACATACATACGAATCACCTCTCATTACTGTCCATTACATAAATTATTTATAATTTAGTTGGAAAATATCTTATTTAAAGTTTCTATTTTGTCATTATGTGCGACTTAAGGCTGGATTAACTAATTTAATAAAAGAATAAAATTAATAAGTTTAAGACATAAAAATTGAAATAAAAAACGCGAATATATAAACGATATTAACAAATACTTATGTAGCAGTGCTATAACAATTTTTATAAATTCCTTTTCCTCACGATAGGTTTACTTTATAATAATATATTTTATAATATTATACACATATTTTAATCACAAATTTCGACAAAATTTGAACAAATCAATATGAAAAAAATTCTATTATTAAATCTACAAGCGTGATATTTTAATTAGTTTTATCTTTATGTATACAACTGTTAAAACATCAAAAATTTTCTGTAAAATAAAATCTTTTTTGAAACATCTGCACTTAGCAGATATTCTTTATAAAGGGGCATTTTAGAGCAAAAGAGAATTAGCTTGTTAATTCAATATTGTTTTGCTCTCAAATATGTATTTTCAGAAAACACAAGCATAATGTCAAAAGGCGCAGTACAAATGATAAAATATTTTGAAAATGTACATATGTTCGGAACACCCGTTGCATTACCAAGAGATTATTTATGATATAGAGTCGACTCGGACAAGGACATAGGTCATCGAGGTTCCATGGGGTTAACTCGTTTAACCTTTTCTTCTCTTCCTCCCGCGCAAGATCGTGATCGAGATCGATGTGGTCTTAGAAATATATACTTCAATTAGAGAAACTCGATAAAGTGTCGTTCATTAGTTCTTAATTCTTATTGATCTTTTGTTGAAACGATATTGAATGTAAAAAAAAAATGAAACGAAGCTCAAATAACAAGAGAGATCGAGACATTTACTAAATCTAATAAATGAAATTACGCAAAATTAATGATATGTTTAATTATGTTAGATTGAAATAGATCAATAACACATATGTCCCTAATCGGAAAATTAAATAAAATAGAAAGTTTTCATTATCCATATATTTATGATATATATTATTTACGTACATGTTTTCGATGTTATAGATTCTAGTAGCAAAGAAAAACAAATAATGTAATTTATTTCAATGTAGAAATATCATGTTTCTGAGTTTTACAATTTATAACTCATTAGACACTCAGACTTTGCACGAATCCAATTCAACTTTAGAAATGTATACTTTTGAAACACAAGTCAACAAAAGCTTCAATCTTCATTTAATTTCATGCAGATTCTATTTCTTAATTTAATTTGAAACTTGTACAACATTGACACTTGGAAACGTACGAAAGAAACTGACATTAAATCAGACTTTTCAAAGAAGAGAAGCTTCTAAATTGTTTAGATTTATAAAAGACTATTTATATTGTTAAAAATTTGGTTTTCGTTGTAAAAAATAAAAAATAAAATAATGAAATATTTTTTAAGAATATAATAACTGTAATTAATCGCAAGAAATTTTATGCAATGATATATTATTTCTCATATAAATTTATATAAATTATAAGTAAAAAATATATTTATTATTTGCCAGACAATTCCTTGCTGCAAGAAAATCGCGTGAGTTAAACTGTACATCACTGTCCAGTTACTTGACCCTGCGTATCTAGCATGACGTTGCTCGACTTGAAGAGGTCATCGTGACTTGAAGATGATCTCTGCCTTTCAGGTGCAAAAGATAAAAAATTATCTTTTTATTTATATTTTTTATTTAGTTATTCCAAAATCGTGTTTCTTTTAAATTAACAGTTTTTATTTATAGTTTATTTATAGTTTTTATAAATAATCAAAGTATATATAGACAATTTAAAATTAAAAATCTAACAGCTTTAAGATAATTCTTTAATGTCAATTATTTTATGCTGATACTGAACCTGAAAAAAGCATTAATTTATATATTTACTTAGTTTGAGTATGAAATATTAAGGAAATCGCATACTTTCAAATAAAAACAAACTACAAATTAAATTCAATCAATGATTTGGAGCAGCACAATAAAAGAGAATTACACACATTTCGTATATATATATAATATATATTATATTTCCATGATATATCGGTATATGTGTACATCCACCTTCAAATACAATTGCATAAACATTTATATTATTGTAATATTTCCTTTATAATCATACATGTAGGTAATACGTTTAAAGTTAAGATGTCGTATAGGGAAATTGTAAATTGCGGATTATCTGTAACTTATACATACTATTAAAGTATGCTTTTAGATAAATCGCAGTTTTAGACACACATATAGGTACGTATTAATAATAAATCTCTGTTCTGACTATAATAATTCCTTCTTCTTGATTATCATATCCATACTTGATTGGAAGAAATCTGTTGTTACAACAGTTTTAATTATCCTATCGATTATTCGCAATCATTGACGAAACAATGACTAACAAATTGAGAAAAACCGACGATCTGATTGGTGAAAGTGGCTGGAGAGATTTCCAATCAGAGAGCAGTAATTCCTATAATTCGCATATCTCTTTTCACTCAATAACTTTTTCCAATTTTTTATCTTATCCAGGAGGATTGCGAAGTCCTAAAAACATGAGATCTGACCCAGTTTGAAAAAAAGTTATATTTTTTATAATAAATATCAGGATTTGTATCGTTAATTGTATAGATCCTTTACAATTTAATTAGTGAACATCCGGAAGGATCATCAAAAAGAATAACGCAATACGAGAGAATCGAAACAAATTATAATATTTGAAACGTGTCAATATAAACGTATTAATTTCCACGTATAATTTTTCATAATAGTTTATATTGTTATCCCATTAAAATTTAGAGTTTACATTTAAAAAATAAATAAAACAATTTCAACAGGAATTGTTGTCACGACTGTTGTCACGAAATAAAGACAATTTTCCATTATATTGCATTTACATATATTTTAAATAGAAATCAGAACTTACTCTAGGATATTAATAAAAAAAAATTGTATTTTACAAAGAATAATAATGATTGTAATAATAACTGTAAGAATAATATTTTTATTTGCAAATATTTCGCAATTTTTTTTGCACTTTTGCTTAACAGTGAAACAAAACAATAGAACTTGAAAAGTAATAGTTATAATATAATATAATATATCCTTATAATATAATATATCCTTATTCCTCGCACATTTTATCCAGGAGATCCGATGAACTGCAGCTGAAGGAACGATCGATTAGTGTGAATCAAGGCCCTTCGAATGCAGTGTGCATTTCTGGCTCCAATTTAATGACGACCTTCACTGGTGAAGATGGAACAGCGGAAAATCCAAGTGGGATTTAGGGAGAAGAATATCGAGGGAATCTTAAGAAAAATAAGATATATTTAAAATATATAAATAAATATCGGACAAAAAAATGATGTTGTATTTAATAGTAAATTTTGTGTACGTATATGCGCGCACATATAGATGTAACTTTTAATAAAATTGCATTAAAATTGATCAATGTGAATTAATTATAATTTTCGCATTACCTACATTGTAATTAGAGAGGTCTACGATTTAGAAAGAGAAGGAGGATCGTTAAGCATATCGATTACTCAACACAGTTGATCCCGAACATCGAATATCGTGAGAGAGGTAGTCATGAACTGCATTGGGAAACTGCATTGGGAAACTGGATCTATAGATATTGTAGAAGAATGTAAATAGTTTCCGAGCGAGTAACATTTTGCAAGCTATTGCCAATTATGATATCACAAGCTTGAAGAATCATTCATTTCTCTCTCTCTCTCTCTCTCTCTCTCTCTCTCTCTCTCTCTAAAAAGTCTAACAAACACACGAAAAAAAGATGTTAAAGCGTATTATCGAGGCCTTCATTTTAATCAAGAATGTAAACCGTAAAACTTGAAAACGTGGAAATCCTCGTGAAATTCCCACGAGACAGATACATCGAGTGGGTTAAGTTATATGGGAGAATCGTAAAATATACTTAAGGACACTATCAAGGATATCATCGTCGGGATAGACTTTCAAGCAGATTGGATGGAAGAGCAAATAGAAAAGAAAAGAAAATATGTAAGAAACAAGACGCGTAAATGTAGAAATTAGATTTATGAGAGAAAAAAGAGAAAAAGGGAGGATATCGTTTAGCCCCACTTCTGAAAGAGACCCATCCGTTGACACTTGCAATTAGAACCCCAGAGATTGCAACGGCAGCTAGAGCTGTAGCAGCAGTCCTTCCGTCGGTGATAACAGTCGCCACCACGCCTTATGCAAGCCCGCCTAAACAAGTTTATCGACGAGGTACGTCTACTCGAGATTAGGGAAATCGAGAAAATGCTTTTTCACAACATCGAGACATCAAGGGAAGGGCCAAAAGACAATGTCGAAGTCGCAATGTCGATTCAGTGTCTCGTACAGTAACGTTCACACATGCATATATATATATATATATGTATTACATGACCATAAATATTTAAAAAATATTATAATTTGTTTTTAGAGACGTAAAAATAAATTGTTTTTCAAATTTTTATTTTCTGATCTTTTTAATTCTTAAAAGATTTCATTAAAAAAATAAATAAATAAAAATAATGTTATAGAATAAAAATAATGTTGTAGAGTCGCATATGTACACATCTCAAAATTGTATGTTTTCGACATCCGTAAAATGTATACAGTTTCAGTAACAGTTAGTCAAGGAAGAAGGAAAAGAGGTAATCCAGAGATCTCAGAAAAGATCCTGTTGAGGAGAATCATAGGAAAATAAAACCGGACAAGTAAGATAATCCACTCACTTTTGTGCCACTCGCATCAGATTTTCCAAAGTGTCTATATAATCCGAGGAGTCGTCAGCTTGAAGATCATCTACATCTTCTGTAAGCGTAAAATAAATGGTTCATTTTAATACATGCATAATCTGCAATAATAAATTTTAATCCGTTTAGTTACATTGTAGTTTACATTGTAAATTTAAAAAATAGAACTTTTTTTCAATTTATGCAAAGCAATTATATGTATTTTCATGGATTAATATAAAAAAAAAATAAGTATTCTTTGCTGAAATGCTGGAAAAGATTCATATTGTATATAGCACCGAATTAATTTAAACCGAATTGATTTAACACCGAATTCTCTCCGAAATGTCATTTAGACAAACAACGTTACAACGTTACTGTAAAGTTGCTGAAATGTTTCGTAATGTATCTTATTTACTAAAAAGAAAAAAAATATTTTGTCTATGTAATCACATACGAGCATAGATTAAGCATAGACAATCCATGATTCAAAAAAGAATTTAAAAAATATATCTCACAGAAGAAATGCTATTATATATTTTATAAGGCAATATCAACAATAGACTTGATCTTGATATATTTCTTTGACTCGATATGTAATACGCGATCACTATGGGAAATAATTTTATCTTTTGACAAAAATAAATTTTATCAAATAGAATATTCCTTAGAAATATGACAAAGCTACTTGCATGAAACTTGTAAAAAGATTTTATGAATTGAAACAAGTAGAAAATATAAAACAAAGTTATACAAAGCTATACAAAGCTACCTTATATCAGCTGAACATATATCAAGCTTCACAAAGAAGGCACTTCATCCAACACTAAAAATTATACTAAATAAAACTATCTGTTTCAGAAAAAATAAAACTATTTGTTTCTTTATGCACACACACACACACACACACACACACACACACACACACACACACACACACACACACACACACACACACACATACACATCCATTTATATCCACTTTTAATAAAGCTTACAAAATTAAAATTAAACTACCCAAGCAGCACAGCAGCATTTGCAAAGCATTAACAAAACGCATATATAATCGCTTTTTTAGCTTTGTTAACGGTACTTAATTGTAAAATAATGTATTACAAAAAAAAATTATATTTAAAAATTTTCATCGTTCCGTTTTCATTATCGCAAATCTTCGTTTTTGCTACAATACAGCCTTATATAAAAGAAAATTATCCATTAAGATTATTACGATAAGTCTCGTTATACGTTTTTAAAATTCTTAACAAGAAAATCCTTCCTGCGGCGCGAAGGTAAAAGGTTAAAGCTAATAAAACGAAACATGATTCCTAGAAAATGTTACCTCTATTGTTCTTTCTAGAAAATGTTATCTCTATTGTTTGCAGATTAAATATTGTGTGCAATATCTATACAATTTAAATTACTACAAATTTGGTTTATTAAAAGAAATTTTAAAAATTATATAAATAAATGTGCAGATTCCCACCCAAGTGCCATTCAGATGTCATTTTATCTTTCTTGTTCACCGAATGTTAAACAAGGATAACATGTGAGACTTAGATGGGAATCTGAACGCGTCTAATAAAGAATAAAAAAAATAAAGATAAATTGCAAATACAAAAACAATATGAAGTTTAACTCATATGTACAAAACAAATTATATAAAATTATAACAAAACATCCTATATAATGTAAAAGTCCCGACTTTAATAATAATTTATTTTAATTAGAAAAGATAATTTTTATATATATATAAAAAAGAGAAATATATTATACGCGACCCGACAAAATGATAAAATCAACCGTTACTTTTTTCGTTAAACCGTTAAAATGCGTCCCAAAATTAATTTTCCGAACGATAAGTATTTTAATTATGGTTCTCGGATTCAGCAAATAAAATTGAGTTTTAAAAAAGGATGAATTCAACAATCAGTCCTCAAATCGCCTCAAAATGCATACATTTCTTTGATTTTCTTTTTAAAATTTAGCTCAAAATAATTTTTTCGATAATTAAACAAAATAATATTGATATTAAATAAAAAATAAATTCACTTATTTTGTTTTTAATTGTTATGATGTTAGCAACATCTCATGTAATACTTCTCAATATTTTGAATAATCATCATAGGCAAATGTAATTTTGATTATTGAGAATATTTCATTGCGCGTATATTGGATTTACGATTGCGAGTCAGAACTGTTTAATTAAATTTGACAGCACCGTGATGTAATCGGTATGCGTCCGATCATGGATGAACCTATTCCACTTGCACTATCTGCTATCCAACTGACTAGGCATGATACGAATCTAATTGATTCTTGAATCAAATTTTTCTATAAAAATATCTCCATTTGTTTAATTCTTGTTTTAAAATATTTTTACATGACTTTTAATAATTTTACAGATATATTTATAAAATATTTGCGTCCACTGTTGTCAGCCATATAAATCATACTTGGCGTATGCACAAATGTTTAATTTATAACGTTAACTGTTATAAATTTGTACTGTAATAAACGTAAAACTCTTAAGAAATTGCACAACCGTGAAAAACGCTTATATTATATATATATATTATAATTCGAACTTTAACAAGTTTCATATATTATAACGCTGGCGAGCAAAAGTGCTGTTACAATTTAAAAGATTTAATACTTTCAAAGTCACTTCCAAAGTTAATTTCAAAACATTAAATAGATTAGCTATACTAATTAAAAAGTTTGCAATGTTAAAATAACTTTTAAAAAGTATGTATAATTTTAAAAGCTACTAATAACTCTCTCTATTATAATTTTTTTATATAATTTGGTTCAAAATTATAATACAGTTTAAAAAATTTAATTACAAAGAAAGATCCTGACAAAATAAATCATATCAAATCTGCTCGATGAGATTTTTTAATAATTTCATTTATAACAGAACAGATATTTTTAACATACAACTTTTGTACGAAATATATTTTCACGAAATCTTTATTGAAAATATATTGTCGAAAAGCTTTATTCGCGTATATACATAAAGCACACAGTATCTATATTACAATTTTAATTTATGTTTAACACGTTAAGCGCCACGTCAGTCACTGGTGACTGACAATATATAATATTTTTCATTTAGGTCGCGTCAGTCACCAATGACTAATGACAGATAATTTTAACACGTTAAACGTCATGACTGAATATAAAAAATTACGCCATGACTGAGTATAAATAATTAAATGCGTAAATAAGAAGTAAGCTTAGCACTTAATGTGTTAAGAATCATTGTAATATCATAATCGACATGTGAATATAATTTTAAGTGTTTTATAAATACTTCTGTGTAATACGTAATTAATGTATGATATAAAAATAAATAAAGTATTAATTAAAATATCTATAATAGTTCATTTACGTTAATTATAATTTAGATTTATATTCATGTAATTGATGCACACACTGAGATAAAAAATTGTTAATTTGACTAAATTTAGTTTGTAATGATTATTTAGTTCAAGTATTTATACATTTAAGTTAAATATACGTAAGTCATTTCAACATATTATTTGTTTCAATTAATAAATACTTGTTTGAAAATCCATGACCGCTACATTTAGTTAAATCAACAATTTTTTTTCTAAATAGCAACGCTTCTTTCTCAGTGTATAATATGATATGAATTCTTATGTTAAATTGATTATATTACTTTTATATATATATATAATTATATAATAAGATACAGAAATATTTAAATTTTTTTAAAAAGTAAAGTGTGCTGTAAAAATTTATTTAGTCTCAATGTATCTATTTATTTTTGACTATATACAAGTTATTTTTTTATATAATATTCGACGGTATACGAGTTATTTTTATTTCGCGTGCACAGTAGACAATGCTATCAATATTTAAAAAATAAAAACCGACTTCAGTTGAAAAAATATTTCAGTAAAAAAAATAGTTAATATCACACTTAGCCTGAAGCTAAAAAATCCTAAAGGTCACAAAAAATGAATAGACAATGTTTCATAATTATAAAAATATTCTGTCAAAAACTTTTTGTCAATATGATAACATCAAAGTACACAAGAAATGAATCTAGTTAGAAAAAAAATTTTAACATTTCTTTTACAGTAATGATAGAATTTTTTTTATTCTTTTTACATACATACACAATACAGTGAAATATCAATTACGTTTTCTGAATAAAGATTTCTTAATTATTAATTGCAAAAAAAGAGTTTGTAGATTATAATCGTAAATATATAATCTTTTTACATTAACTTCTATTTTAGTAATTACATCATATAATACATCAACTGCATAAAAAAATCGATCTGCAACATATTGGTCGTATACGAATATTTACCCAGTCAAAAATGATAATGAAATCAACATTGATAATTGAATTGACGTCGATTTGATGCTTTCGACGTTGAATCGATATCGATTCGATGTCGATTCCATTATCATTTCTGATTAGATAATCACTCTCGTGCACGTTGACATTAAATAATTCGAATTTATGTATCAGCAAAAGACCCAACGCAAGACCAAAGCTCGTAAATATGTTTTAAATTTTTTCAACGTTTCTTCATCGTTCTCAAAATGTCTTATGAGTGTTTACGTTAGATATATTTGAGAAAAGCAGCTTGCAGCTCTTCATTAACGCGCAAAAAAGGATCAAATTATGACTCACCACCATCATCGAAATAAGGATTAGCGAAGCTCCTATCGGCTAAGACGACCAACAGAAGAAACAACCATAGCAACCAGGACCTCATGCCTCACGATCTGTGCCTACTCGGCTCACAGTTCGCGCTAACGAAAATTTGGTAGAAGTGAAATGCAAAGTCTGTGCCGCTGCTCCCGCTTGTCCTTCTCGAGAAGGAATCTCACCCTTGGCTCACCACCGCGTACTGGGGTGCGAGTGAGGATTCCACCGCCACCATAGCGCTTATATAGACGCGGGAGGCGTGGCGATGCGCCCCCACGAGGACATATAGGAGCCTGGACTTCTGGATCGGACGAAAAGTTCTCTACCACGCAAGCTCTAATATACATTGTTTGATTGTGTGCTGTAGAAACATCCCCTTCAAGCGGACAAAGGAATAAAATTATTTTCGGCTACTGTTAATCCACACTTTCGACGAACTTATACTCTCGGATAAGAGAGAGAGCAACTAGTTGCAAAGCAACTAGTAGATTCTAGATTTTTTTCTCTTCCTTCTTTTTCTTCTCTCTTTCTTTCTCTTAATTTTTTAAACATAAAGATTAAGAAATTATAAATTAAATATTATATTAGAAAGATATGCTAGACATTTATTATAAAGTGAAATCACCGATATTGATATAGATCTTCTAAGAAACATCCCCCTATTTCTCAGAAACTATTGTACTTTATTAATACCTACTGATAAAAAAGTGTTGTGATCTGTTTAGATAATTAAAGAAGTAAAAACTCATATATTTTGTTTCTATAAAATCAACTAAAGACGAATTCTATAAATGCGAAAATAAAATTCTTACAATTTTTTTTATAAACTTGCATAATTTAAATAATATAATAAATAATGACTGTATTATTGATAATATTGCATTGTTTTGTATGTTCCTATTGCGCGCGCATAGTTTATAAATCAATTTTTTTTCTTTCTTATTTTTCCATAATACAGTTTTAAATATAAAATCAGAATACACACATTGTGTAAATCGGCACGTCTGTCTGTAAAACAGACATAAGCTAATTTAATAGTGCTACAGGTTTATGAATTATCGCCGTGTCGTGATCCAATGCTAACGAATTTTGCCTTCACTTTATCAACGTGAGGAGCAGCACACTGATACCCTTTGACACCTCTGAAGAAAATGGAAGCCTTCAAAGTATTATCAAGCTTAATTTTTATAATGTTGCATTATAGTATCAAATAGTTCTATCGGATGTGAAGGCAATCGTGTATAATTTATGGAAAATTTTTAAAAAGAAACATTACGCATTATATGTTTACGTCTCGCAGAACAGCAAAAAGGGCTGTATTCAAATTTCCACCTAAATGCCACACAGGTGTCATTGTATCCTTATTGCTCGCCGAATGTTAAACACGGATAATATGATACCTAGGAAACATTTGGGTCACACAGGAATCTGAATGTATCCAAGTATGCATATAAAAAATCAACAAAAAAATTTTATAGTGAAAAGCTGGAAAAAGTGAAATTATATATCAGTTTTAAAGTTTATTTTGCCAAACGCTTTTGCTTATTTTAAATAAAATAAATTGAGTAATGAATTCGTCTTTTACAATAAATTTTTCTGTTATAATCAGAATTACAAATACTATAGTTAAAAATTTAAAACATTTAGACTTTGCGACTAATTATAAATTTTTCACGTTAATATATAACGTTAATATATAACGGCTTATAATCCCATCAGATAAAGAAATAAATATAGATCAATAGATATCTTCTCGCATAATAAAGAATAATTAATCTGCTCGTCCTTGAGATGCAATTTTATAAATCACTGTAATTTATTCATTTATTAGATTTGGCGCTGAATAGAAATTTAATAAAATTTGTTTACTAGACATAACCTGTCTTATTTGCTTGAATTTCCGACAGAGATAATTGTGGAAATCAACGAACATTATTCGCAATTCAAATTAAATGTATCTATTTAAAGTTGAGAGTTGTGCTGAGTGTAAAAGAATTATGTGCTGCACAGTCTTTCTCGTTCGAACAGAATTTTAAAAAGACATTTTGCACAGTTTCTAATATAAAGATTTTTATATTAAATAAAAGATCTTTATATATTTAAAAAGAAATATTTTGCACAGTTTTTAATATAAAAATCTTTATGGATCTTTTTAAATAATTGAAACCTTTATGTATCTTATTAATTTAAAAATTAAAATTTTACTAAAATCAATATTATTACGATGTAAATGAAGAACAAATATTAATTATCCATCTATTTTCTAAAACTTGATTCAGAAAAGTTTTTGGATAATTTAACAATTAATAATAAAGTATCAACAGTATGATATTTATGACTTTTTTTTACTTAATACAGATCAAATAATTAATAAATTTTAGTGAAAAGAGAAAAAATGAAAAAGTTATCTAAATATAATTTATTAATATAAATTATATGTAAACCAAGAAAATGTTATACACACACACACACACACACACTCTCTCTCTCTCTCTCTCTCTCTCTCCACATACACACATTACATACTTTTTACAAAAAAAAGACATTTAATTTTATAAATGATACATATAATAAATTTATTCATATATATTCATATTTTCGCATGTTTATTTCGTTTATATTTTCAAATAAGTATGTAAATTATAAGAAAAGAGAGAGAAGAATGCTATATATTTCTAATTTTTTCTTTTATAAAAGTTAAACTCGTACTTCAAACTCGTACTTCAATGCTTCTAATTTCATTCATATTTTCTTGCAAGATTGCAAGAATATGATGCATTTTTCTTTTATACATGCAACATTGATGCAATTTTATTAGGTGTTGGAATTAATTCGTAGCGTTTTACAAGTGATGGGAAGTACTTTCATTAATGTATTTTTTAATGCTCATGTGAAATAAATAACATTCTTTCATTAAAAAACGCTACGAATTAATTCCAACACCTAATAGTAAAAAATTCATTGTCAAATATTCGCTTTTTTCATTATAAGTTTTTGAATTTCAGAAAGTTCACGACACAAGAGTTACACAATTGCGAAGTTGTCGCTTAAACCACGTACGGGAAATATAATAAAATAGTTGCTTTCGACAAAATATCTATTATTCAGAACACGTGACTTTGATCACGTAACCATAAACGCCTTTGCAGCAATGGGAACTTGCAACATTTACTTAAGAACAATTCAATTTCAGCTGACTACAAGTGTTGAAAAGTTATGAGAGAACACGTCTTGAGATGTGTATATACTCTAATAGAAATTCTCTCTTAGAAATAAATATTTCTTAACTTTATTCACAGCGTCAATAGATTGAATTAAAAGCTTTTAGCTCAATTTTTTTGATGTTGTGAATTGTATATAAAAAATTATATAATTTTATTAACAATCTTAAAATAATACACGCCAATGTTAAAATTATAAAATTGTAATCCCAGAAATAAAAATCTTTTACATTAAAAAGATATTAAAGAACAATATTTTCTAAAAAGCAATTTCTTTTCAAAATATGTTATTATTATAAAATTGTTAAACAATACTTCTCATTTTTTCCCGTCGATAAAATTTTTTAATAGTACATTTAATATCATTGTATAAATGAAATAAAAAACTAGAAGCAAAATTTAATATTTGTTAAAATTATTAAATAAAATAAAAAGAAAATAACACAAAATGAAGAAGTAATATTTTAATAATTTTTTTATTTTATAATAACGATGTCGTGGGATTTCACTTAAACAAGATAGATCGAATATAAGAGATATTCAATGCTGTAGATTTATAAAGATAATGCTAGCAAATATGAAAAAAAGAACATCATATAATGAATGAAATACACCAATCTATACAATTTCCAGTAATGAGATATTTGTCCCTATTCTAAAAAAAAAAAGTGTCACTTTTCTCTACAAAAATGAGCAACAGAGAAAGAAATGAAAAAACACATTCGTATCGAAGCGATATAAGCAAGAAATCTGATGTTGTATCCTAATTGGCATTTATAGTACCTGAGGGTACGATGTATCAGATATTATACGTTATCCACATAATGAGTTACAAGATACCAAGGAGACTTCATTATAGACTAGGGAGACTAAGGAGATGGTCCTAAACCGTATGTCATAAGATTATTATATCTGTATATTTTATACGGTTTCCCAATATAATAAATTAAGTATTATAGCACGTATTATAAAATTGAAGACCGTTATAAAATAATGACATTGTATTTATTAATAACCCATCAAATCACAGCATGTAGCTTAGATATAGATATAGATTACACGAGTGTCAAAAATTACATGTAATATTATTTATACAGGCAGATATATAACGTACTGGCATGTCTCTATTAGTAACTTTGAACTATCATTTATATATTAATAATATCAATAATATAAGAAAAATAAGAAAAATAAAATAATAAAATTTAATCGGACTTTCGAAATTGGAACAAATAAATATTTAATAGAGTGAATGAGAGTACAAAATTCTGCGCGATAATTCATGCAAAAATTAGATTATAAAATATAAAATTTAATATAACTCTGGACTCTCGAAATTTAAAATATTCAACAAAAAGGCTAATGATAATAGTAGCACATTAGAGTGCAAATAAAATGTATTTCAATCTAATCCTAATAATTCTCATAATTTTTGGTAATTGCACTTTGAGTTATCTTCAGCGATACTTCGATAAAACGAATTCTTCTAAATAATTCTATAGCAATATAATTCTAGCGATATAATTCTTAAATAATAAAACCAGAAATCTCATATTCATACAAGATCATCATCTCCTTCCCTCTCGAAACCATAAAACTTTTGTCTGAAACATTTTTTGAAAAAACTTCTGCGTTTCGAGAAATTTGCATATATTGATTATAAAATGGTCTTCTCTTCATATATAAGTTTTATATGTAAATATATAAACGCATGTAAATAAATTTATATATTTAATTTTTGCGTTGTAAAAAATTATGTAATATACATATTTATTATAGAAATTATAATATGTATTATATATACATTTATATATATATATATATATATATATATATATATATACACTCGTATATTAAGGAATTTGTGACTTCGTGTGTATTGGTATATATATACATACAATCAGCAAAATAATTAAAGCCTTATTGTTTTGCGATATTTGACACATGAAGCAAATTCGTCGAATCACAAGCTAATAACCAAACACATTGGACTGCTGCCTACATCAGCAATTGTATTATCATTATTATGTTTGCTGGATAAATAATTCTCCTAGCAATATTTACAAAATTTTATAAAGAGAATATACTTTAGAAAATAATTGCTCGAATTCACGTGATGGAAATTGAAGATATTGATGACTTTCGAGATTTTATCACGATTTATAAGAAAGATTATCTTGGAAAGAGAGATAAAAGAACGATAAAGCACAAATTATTACCAAAATATTTGCCATCCTTGAACATCTTGAATAGACCGTACAAACAATATTTGCATACTCGACTGGAAAATCTATTACTATCTGAGAACGAACGAAGCGAAGATCCAGTCGACAATTTAAACAGAGTAAAAATGCAAATATTTTTATATTCGTGATTGTATGCTATCATAATTGTATATCATTGAAAATAGATACGAAACAAATTTCCCCACTTAAGAAATGCTTTACCGGAAATCGTGCCAGATGAAATCATAATAAAAAATGACAAGGAAAAATTAATGAAGACTATATATCAACAGGATTATTTGAAGGATTTTCAAAAAGGTAATGATGATTATTGCTTATAATTATAATTAATCATTATATCTATATATGTGTAAACATATATCATGCATGCACTTTACGAACAGATAAAAGGATCATTAAGTCGGAAATGGTAGCAGATAAGATATCACAAATATGGCAAAATATCACAACTATTTTGTTTTTTCTTGATAAAACCTACAAATAGATTGGAAATGTTTGATTAATCAGTTGGAAAAAATAATTTTACTGATCAAAAATATTTCGAAGCTTTTGTAATATTAAGCAGACCATAGGCCCATATCTTATTGGAAAAACAAACTCAACATTTATATCTGTGCATAAGTTCTTTTGTCGAAGTATGTGTGTATGTATATGTGTGTGTGCGCGCGGGCGTACGCGCGTGTACAGTTGTATCATAGATCTGTGAACATGGATACACCTTGTGGCTGTAATCAGGGGATCGATTGAAATGAGATGAAAATTAGAAAAATGAGCAAATTCACTAAGTGACCAATTAAATTATGAGCGGTATTCCTAGTCCGTTCTTATTTCAAGAACATTGTCTTAAGTAATGACTTAAGACACTAATACCCTCTGGCCGGTATTCATAGTCAGATCTTATATTTAAGACCGCAGAGGACTGCATTAGCGACTTAAAACATTACTTAAGACAGTCTTAAAATAAGAATCGACTATGAATATCGGTCCTGATTGGTTCGTGACTTTTTAAGACTGTACTTAAGATGGTCTTGAATATAAGATTTGATTATGACTACCAGTCTATGAATATTCTAGTTAATTCTAGTAATAATAAAAGGGCTAGAGAGAATAAGTGCTGTTCAAGGTGCGCAAATTGTTCAAGAATATCTCTCAATATTCAAATTAAATTTATTGAAGAGACCGAACATTGAGAGAACGAACATAATCGTTAAAACGAATAATAAATTCGAAATTCGTATGTTTCGGTTAGTTTTCTAACCTTCAGCAAAAAATATACGCAAAAAAGTTACATAATTATAATAATATTGCTCGTTATCTACGCATACAAAATTGGAAAATGTAAATCTATTTTTTGCAGTCTCCAGGGAAAAACCAAACTAAATTCTCTTGTCGAGTAGTTTGGCTTGCTTGGAGATTGTAAAGAATAGATTTACATTTTCCAATTTTGTATGCATAGACAACGAGCAATATTAATTATGTAACTTTTTTGTGTATATTTTTTGCTGAAGAAGATTAGAAAACTAACTGAAACGTAGGAATTTCAAATCAAATTTATTATCGTTTTAACGATTATGTTGTCCTACTTGTCGGACTTTTAGTTTTACTTATTTATTTAATATTGTATCAGTACAAATGAATATTTCATCACAATCAGATCGCAGAGAAATAACATTGCCGCAAAACTGGATTATACCCGAAACAATTCAAAAATGTGCATTTCGAAATCCATGGATAATCGCAACGAAAGCATTAATAAAACCACCAAAAATTTTAAAACCGCGCAATAATTTGGATCCTAATCTTAAAGAAAGAGAAATTCTTCGAGTGACGTATGTAAATTATTATAATATCTATATTAATTTGAAATACAATTTTAAAATATTGTTTCCCCTATTTCTTTTCTCGGCAGAACCGGAAATTCCGAATATATGGAAACGATCGGGATTGCAGGAGAAAACATCATGTTACGAAGTCGGTCATCAAATATGAGAGATCACGCATCTGGGTTGCAAAACTCAAATACGAGATCTTGAATATCTGAATTGGAATGTTCACTGATACTGAAACAAAATTTAACTCTTTTTGAAAAAATATTTTAAATAATTTTTAAATTACGATTTTAAAAGAGCTCAGGATTTACATGACAAGGGAAGTTACATGTAAAGTAATGAAAGTATAAATAAAATAAAATCATATGCAAATTGTTGGAAAACAGAATTCATATTATATATTCATAATTACATTTTCAATTTCAATTTCATATGATTTTGGGATAAATCAATTAATTACTTCGTACATTATTTATATAACTATATACATATACATATTATATGTATATATATGTATATGTACACGCATGTACGCACGCACGCACACAGGCACCTTCATATCAATACACAAGAATGCTAGATTGTAATATTACTTGTATAATTCACAGAACTCGTTTTTCATATAATTATTTACATATTCAAATCTAATATCATTTTACAAAATATTTTCCAACAAATATGAATACTTGATATTCCATATGTAACAGATTTGCTGAATACTTTCACATGTGTAATATTTATATTCCGTAATTATATCAAAATTGTTTTAGTGAACTAATTATCAAGCAATTAATGATCAAATTGTTGAAATAATCAATTAATGATTAATTAATGTTCACTTATCATAATTTAATTTGAGATTAACTTAAAGCTTAAAATTTTAAGATAAATAAAATTATACAAGTAACAAACATTAGATACTTAAATATCTTAAATTTTAGTACTATAATTAATATGGAAAATCGAGTTAAATGATGTGATAAAAAATTGTATGTAAATTTATAGCACGAAACTTATCTTTTTTATGTCCTTTTTTAGTCATAGCACAAATTAGATATATATATATATATATATATATATACATACACACACACATATATATATATATATATATATATATATATATACTTGTATGTAAGATATATATATGTTTTATAACTCGCAGATTATCTCTCATAAGCATATAGTACTAAATTAAAAAATTCTGTAAATTTTCATTTTGCAATAATGAAAAATTAAATATCCACAAATCATCATATATCTTACCGCGACAATAGATAACCCAGCATTTATGATTTCTAGAGGCACAAAAAGAATGCTCCTCAAACAAATCATTTTTTTACAAAGTCTTTTTCGTTGATTTGTGGATTTTCAATAAATTTCTTATCTATAGCAAAAATCGCAATCTACAGAATTTTTCGATTCGATTCAGTTCGTTCTATCTGTTTACAAGAGGTGATTCGCGAATTATGCGACACTTTGTGTATATATATATATATATATATATGCATGCGCGCATAAGCATGTAAAAAAGAAACACCTTAATTAAATCTAAAAAAAAATACCCAGCACATAATATACATAATTTATGATTTTAGTCCCTCACTTCACAATATTGATAACTATATTAAGACTTAATTAAATTTGATGAAGTTATTAATTTTAACAATGCATTCTCATTCTAATAGAATTATATTACTAACTTATAGTTTATTGTGCCTAAAAATTACTTCCTATACATAAAATTCATTCATATTACAAACAAAAACTCATATCTATTTCGATACAATAAAATCATTATAAAAATGAAAATGCTGCCTAATTATGTGTGTGTGTGTGTGTGTGTGTGTGTGTGTATAATTATTAATTGAAAATTATGTATGTGCGTGTATATGTATGCGTGTACCTATATATACACATATGTAAACATACTCAAAGTGCTCCAGAACGATAGAAAACACATTTTTTTACTAATTTAGTAAAAAAAGAAATTAGAAATTCATTTATTTTCTTTAACAAAATTGTTGAATGTTAAAATTATTTATTTTCACTTTCTTTAACGCTATATATTTTTTAATGTTATATATTAGAGATCATTAAATATTCGATCATTTTTCATATGCTGCAACTGATTTCAAATAAACCTTAGATTTTTAATTGTTGAAATATAACAAAAAATGTAGACATTTTGTAATGAATTTGTAATGAATTTGTAATATAATATTGATATCTAATATTATGATAAGAATATTCTTGTTTTCTATTTTATTTTTAGAAATTCAAATAGAATTTATTTCATTAAAATAAATTGTCTTTGATTATTATTAAAAAATATCTAAATCCATTGAGAAATTTAAAGTAAAAAATAATCTGGAATACTTTATGTACAGTTTCATACCGAAAAATTACATTCTTTGTATGAATTATATTTATATTATACATCGCACCAAGAATATTTACACATACAAAAAAATGTAGATGTTCAATATAATCACTGACACATGATTCTTCCTTTTTTTCAATCCAACTATTATCCAAATATTATCTACATCAAGCGACTGTTTGTGGTAACAATGTCGTCATCAGAGATCATATCTTGCAGAGGAATATTTGGCTTCTGCAACAAACAATTAAAAACAGCAAATGTAATTCGCATTCTGCGAAATCACAAACGACTCTGAGAGAATAGAAACTATTATCTTACTTCAAGTACAATCGTGGATACCATATTGTCTGTGTCGTGATATTGTACACCTACATTTGCAGCTGCTATTGCTACAGTATGAACATTATCGGTGCTGGTTGAGGTTGTGATGTGCTGGGTAATCGTGGAGCGATTTGCATTTTGTCTACTGGAACCATTATACTCTTATATGCGTAAAATTACCAAGATGAGACACTGTTTCTTATTCTTTTACAAGAAAAACGTGTATTAAAAAATATATATGTATGTACAAAGTAATCACTTACTTTCGTTTTTTCACTTGACCTGAATGGAAACGGCCACCTTCACCACGAATTCTATTCATCGCATGTCGATGACGAGATTCGTGGAGATATTTCTGAAATTAAATTTTGTTATTTTTATCTCTTTCAAATATATATGTTGCAAATGAATATGACGACAAATAATATAAAAAATAAATGCATTTATATTAATTTGCAACATATATATAATTTTATATTTCATACAAATTAGTATTCAAAATAAACTAAAAAATATTCAAATATAAAAATCTCAGTTTTAAATATATATTTTAAAAAGCTCATTTTTGAATTTCAAAAAAATTGAAGGATACTTACTGGCCTTTCCTTGGGTATCTTCCCTTCAGCTTCCAATTTAGCACGAGCTTGACGACGCTTCAATATCCGCCTATATTGTTTTGCATTGACATATAGTGGTTCTTCTTCGAGAAGTTCAGCGTTAGGCAATGCCACTCTTTGGAACTGTGTTTGTCCGCTATTACCTGGTACCATCTAATTACAAAGTAACATGGTGATTATAGCGATGACATTAATTGTTTCTAATTCTCGGAAAGTTCATATGTCAATAGAAATCTAATACAAGGTTGTCACAAATTCTTCATCTTAAAATTCTATCCCTGATTTTCAGACAAATTTTCATGATTTCTCCTAACTTTCAATAATATTTTGAAATATTTTGTGTTTTCATCCTAATTTGGAAACCGTTAAATATTTTGTTGAGAAATTAATTTAACATAACAATATAAATTATTATTAATATTGTTGACACTGCTTGCAATTTTAATTGTTAAGTTGATAGTATTCCAAAACTGCATAGGTATAACGTACGTTATATATTAGGTCAATATTACATGTGTCTGTTTTTTATCGGATGACAAATTTTTCAAGCCTGTTCATTAGCTATGGGAGATCCGACCTCTCTGTTCTGTGCACATTTGTCATACGACAAAGCATTTCAAGCCTATTGATTGGCTGCAGGCAAGAAAAGTGGTCGAATCTCTCTATTCTATAGCCAATCAATCAACTTAAAATCTGTTGCTACAGTCCACGTGATGCTACAAATATTTCGAGCATTTTTTGATTGGTCAGTTAGTAAAATTCTTTCTTCCAAGTGGTCAATCAAAAATTTTAAACATTTGTAACGTCAAATGGATCACATCCTTTATCATACGATAAATGTAATACTAGCCTTAAACTTCTTTAAAATTTTTTAATTTCCCAGAAAATTTTGTAAAATTCCTTAATTTTTTCCTGATTTCTCTGACTTTAATTTCTCACAATTTTCTGATCTCTAGTTTTGTGGCAACCTTGTAATGGCGATAAAAGAACTTCCAAAATAAAAAAAAAATATAATAACAAAAACAAAATAGACGATAGGTTGAGGAGGAAAAAACAATAACATATGTTTCAGCTTTGATTTAGCCTTTAATAAAGCCTTCAGTAAAGATTTAGAACCGAAACATACATTAGTGTTCTTTACCTTTTCCATTTTATGCAGCTGCCATTAATATTAAATTTATTTATTAAGGTAAATGCGCATCGTCTTCTGCATAATTTCCTATTACCTATTTTGTTTTTGTTATATAATACCTATAATATTATTCATGGTTATTAGAGAAATCAATCTAAGACATCTATAAACATTAATGTAAACTACATAAATAAAAATTTTCTATAAATTATTACCATAACAACATTCCCTCCTTGTGACACTGTTGATGTAGGACTACCTAAAGGTTGTACTGGGGTTGTACTAGCAGCAGTAGTTGCGGTCTGTGATGTTGTACCAGCAATTTGCATGAGATTACCATTAAGATTTATAACTGTAAACAAAAGATATTGAGAATTATTTATACAAAAATATTAAGATGCATGAAATAGATACATTTTCAACTTACCTGTTGGTTGGGCTTGTTGCACTTGACCTTCTAATTGCACAGGTTGATAGATGTAGGTTTGTCCATCGGGAGTTTGAATAATTTGTGGCGTTTGTGGTTGCTGAATAACTATCTGTTGACCAGTACTGGTCAGGCTAGAAACTGGAACAACTTGGATCTGTCCATTAGGCGCTACTTGTGTTGCTGCTACTTGTATCGCTTGCGGAAGCATCATAGTTTGTCCACCTTGGCCCATTTGAACAACTTGTACAGCTCCACCGGTACTACCGACTACAACCGCCTGTCCTTCGCTGAGTTGCTCCATAATAAATCTTTGCTATAATAATAAAATAAAAAAAAAACTAATAAAATACTTCAGAAATATATACATATCGCAAATAGAACTAAAATAGATACCAGGAGATATCATTGATACAATCGTGTATTCATCATAGTGTATCATCATTCAATTTGTATCATCGCTATTAGGTTAACGGTGCGTGGAGTTTATGAGGCAATTATAGAAATTCAACGCAGCCCGTCGACGTGGCGACCACGCCGAGCGGGTTTGGAGTGTTTGGCCTGTTTAGAGCGGGCCATTTCGCTCGATGTGTGAACCACGTGTGGTTTTGCACGTGCGGAACGTACAATCTCCAAACCATGTTTCGCAAATCGCGAGCGGATGAGACGAATAGTGAGAGTGCCTAGAAGAGAGCGTTGCCCAACGAGTGAATGCATCAGAATGCACACGCATGCATATGAAAGAAGGGATGCGCGTCGTCTTGTGGGATTCGCGCCAACGTTCCGAGACGTCTCAGTGGAGATTCGCGAGATGAGCGACGCCGAGCGACGCAGCCGCCGATGCTGCGATCCGCGAACATATCGCGAGGATCGCGACGTTCAACCGCGAGGAAACCTGGGTCGATCGCCATCGGACGTCCGTGGAAAGAGAGCACGATATCGCCTCGGCAAACATGGCCGTGTGGCGATGGCTTTTTTGGCGTCGCGAAGGCGCTGGCTCGCGCGGAGAAACACGCGACGCGATCGCGAAATCAACGTTAAATCGCGAATGTGGGCGCACGACCATTGCCGCGTATCGGGCTGATGTTTGATAATTTGTGAACTTACATTGGATATTTTCGTGGGCACTTTCCCAATTGGTCGACGAATTGAGGACCAATGGTCGGCGAAAGACCGTCCTCAGCTCTTGTGTATTGGTGGCACTGAAAGATGTGAACTGCCAGTCCGATGGCAGTCCGAGCCAAGACCGGTCGATGCCCCTCCGCGCCTCTATGCGGGCCGCCAATCGAGTTACGCGTCTCATCCCTCTCCTTTCAAGCGCGCGGTTTAACTTACGCAATTAAACTGTACATTGTATCATTTTCCGAAAATTCTTCTTTTTAATTTGTTTTACGCCTAGTTGCACCAACGTTACTTTAATTTTAAACGAGATTTAAAACTCTCTCTGTCTCTTTTCGGTTTTAAAACGATTTAAATAGTTTTAAATTTCGCTTAAAATCAAAGTAACGTTGATGCAACCGAGCCTTAAAAGATAAATTCTCTCCTGTTTCTTTCTGATAACTCATTTATAAATTCATTTATACCATACTATTACAGAACTAATATTGTAAAATGTTTTTTATAATTTGTTAATATTATTTAGAATATTTAAAACAATTTCAAGTCTTACTTTCGAATTTGAAGATGTAGCAAGATATTCTGATATAAATTTAAGAAAATAATTAAATGTAAAATAAAGTGAAAGAAAACAATGAACTGTTTACAATAAATACAATACGGTGTTTTTATTTGACTTTCATTTCTTCCTATTCGAACTATTATAACAATTGAATATTTCTCAACAAGATAACAATAAAATCGAGACCAATGTAAAATTAATGCACAATTTTATAATTTTTATTGCTCAAATTTTCAATCGAACAATTTTAAATTCAAATTTTAAAGAAATTCGGATCTGGTGAGAAAGATGCATAACAAGATGTATAACAAAATATTTTAATCTTGAATTTAAAGGAATAGTAAAGAAAAATTAAACTACATATCTATTGTGAAAGAAATTTCTGTTTATAATTAATTACAGTTTCCTTACAGTGCGAAGTTGCACAAAAGTTGTAGCAATATTATAAAGATTTTGCATCAATATTGCTGTAAATTCTGTGCTGTATGGATTTTTATTTGATTTTCTTTTCTATTTAAAAAATAAATCGAATAAAAAATATATATCTATATTTAAATTTTCGTTAATAAAAACAATAAAATTTGATCTGTTTAAAAATACACACACACCTGCGTGCGTACATATACAAAGTAAAAATGTTTTCTAGCTGTAACTTATCGTCTTGGACTATAATTAGAGTTAAAAGTTCTAAAGAGGCTTAAAAGAATACAAAAGAATTTCAGAGGCTTGAAAAAGTACAAAAGAATAATAAATCGAAAGAAATATTTCTCATTCTTCTTAATTTTGCATTAATTATACAAATATTACTATATAAATATTAATACTAATTACAAGTTAGTTAACATTTGTCACATTTATATTTATCACTGCAAAATAGAAAAATTTTTATTATTTATAAATAATTATAAGTTACATTATGAAATACCTTACATAATTTAATATTGTCATTCAAAATCCTTTACAAATTCCTTGCAATTTTTGAAGGCAATAAATTTGCATTAAATCTTTCTTTACAATAGTAAAAGAATTATAATAATTACAAAATCATAGTTATATAAGATTCAATTGAATTTATTGAACAATGATAAAATAGTATTCTTTTTCTTACTTTTATCTGAAGATATGTATATACGAAGTGTCCTGCTATTATTGCATAAATTAGCACATTCTTTGGTCACTTTGGAATCGATTTTTCTTTTGAAAAATATTTAGGCAGTGATAATTGAAAAATTATAATTAACAGCTAATAATTAACAATTAAAAGCAAAAATCTCGTTTTATAAATTAAATTTCAAGGGTGCAAATAAATAGCAAAATTATATTTATTAATTCATTTTGAATAAACTTTATTTTCATAGAATTTGTATTTAATATCATATTTTATTAAAGATATAATGTGGAAGAGAGGCAAGTTGAAAAATCTCACTCGATATTTTTCCTAGAAAAACAACAGATTCGCAGTTGGCCAAAAAATATGCTATTAAGTGTTTGCGTGGGAGAGTGACAGGATACTCTGTGTGTGTGTGTGTGTGTGTGCGCGCGCATGCGCAAGGGCGTGTGTACTTATCGATAAATATTACAACAAATTAATTTTTTACATAAAAATTTCACATAGATAAAAGATTATGACGCATATCTGAATAACACTAAACTTTAAAATAAAAAATAAAAGAGAGAACTGTATATCTATTTAACAATCGTGAAACTATTAGTACATAGCAAGCATAAACAGCAGTAATAATTCAACATTCTGTATAATACATTACAATCGATCTTTTGTCTTAGCATAAGCTAGAATTATAACTCGGACTTAGGTCGATATATTTCCGACGTATTCTTTTTATGATGTTAAAATTCCAGTCAAATAAGACGAAATTATAAATTAACTTGACGGATATTCAACGATCACGATAGAAACGGAACCACCAAATCTTCCTTGTGTTCGACTTTTACATCGCCTAATGCTGTCACAGCCTTGTTGAGCATTTCTGTAATCTATATGTTTAATATATGTATTACTGACAAACTTAGTGCTCTCATAACGAAGAAAATATGAGAAAGATGAAACAAAGTATTTACCAATTCTTGGTCTTCAGCAGCAAGTGGATCGGCAGCTAATGTTCGTTCTGGAGCAGGTATATCCTTAAGTAGGCAAGATGCACCCTCGGGAAATTTAATTCGACCCGATTCTATTCTCTTTGAATACGCACGAGATCTGTCCATATATTCATGCTGTTCTAGATTATGAGTGTCTAATGCGCCCACGTCAATAACATTGCTATAAAAAAAATAATTATAACATCAACTTACAATTTTTAAAGTAATTTATTTTATAATATTTTCTATTGGGAAAACTAATAAAATTATATTATTCCATGAAGGTTATTTATAATGGAGTTAAAGTTATTTTTTTCCTAACTGCAGCTTAACTTCTTTCCTTCTGAATATTATATATTCACTTTTATGTGATATTTTTTATAATATTCAGTGTAGTAAATTCATGACGAAATAATATAAAACAGCGTTAAAAGATTAAAAACAAAATTCTTATAGAAAAAATTATATCTTTAAAGCAAATTAATATGTGATATAAATTATATAAAGAAATCAAAGAATTAAGTACAAGAAAAAATTTACTCACGCCGCAGTTTCATGTAAAATTCTATTCAACGCACTCTGTTCATCTGTCTTCTTAGGCACGGAACTTGCATATTGGTTAACATAATCGTCACTGGAAAGAAGAAAACAAAAGATATAATCTTACTTAAGAGAGCTCGAAATATTATGTCGAACACAAAAATGTCTGTGTGCTTGATAAACACATAAAATAACTCACCTATGAACTCTCGGTACGTTTGTATTATTACTGACAGGATCTACCAGCAAATGTGTTCTTTCATTCGCTTCTCCGCCCTGCAAATAAGCATTGTAATAGATATTTAAAATATACAATTTAAATTTTTATTACTTTCTATTATTGTAACTTTTTCATTACAATACAAATATATGTGATAAATATATGTCAATCAGGCGTTATCACTATCGTCGAGTAGGCGTATTAATTGCGACAATTATCACGCATCAGTGATAAGGAAGAAAATGTTGAAAGTGCAGTAAAACTGTTTTCGCAGTTATTTTACCTGTGGCCCGCTGTCCTCTTTACAAAAGCTGTAGCAGCATCCCATATTTGAACGGAATCCCACCAACGTGACTTTTCTCTATGAGCAAAGTATATCCGTTATTGCAAACGGTCGTTCATTTTTCTATTCCGGTAAACAATCAGGTGAATCAGCTGTGTCGCCGCAAGATTCTACGTATATACATACACAAACATAACTTTATAAATAAAGACTGTTTCAACAAGGCGCATGCAATTAACTGACACGAAAACGACGAAAACTCGGGGACGTGACGAAACCGGGTACATGCAACGTCTCTAGTGGAACTCGTCCTGTACTACTTGAAAACATAACCTTGTTCCGGCTGACATCGCATTAGTGTTGCAACAATATACAAGACTCGATATTAAATTTCGTTCAGCGGAATTAACTGAGAAAGCTGATATTTATGTCGGTATCAATTTTTTTAATTTCGCTACTTTGATATATACATATATTACAGTCGCTATCATGGCAGGTACAAAGGTAAGATCGATAATATATTTATGTATAATCATGTCTACATGATAAATAAAGTTTATCAGTTTACTGTAGATATTATTTTCTTTTTGTTTTAGGAAGTAACAGAGCTGCAAGCGTTTAAAACAGTTTTTTATCACAGTGTAGTGATACTCGCGCTACCTGTGGTCGCTTTCTTTACAAGCAAAATTTTTCTCTTTGATGGTACGAAACGTATATATATGAAAAAATTGCAATGAACACCAGCAAATTTACAGAGAAGAGATAACTATAAAAAAGAATCATTTTTCCATATATTTCTTTTTTGTGAAATCTATGGATTATATTTTAGAATATTTTGCTTTCTTCAATTAATGAATTGCTTTTTTATGTTATAGGTATATTAGGTCTCAACACAGTATCAAGTAATGTGTATTCAGCTGGCATTGCGGTAATAGTATTACATATTGCCTTAGGAGTTTTTATATACAGAGCATACTTTGATGATCGATCAAGAACACCAGCAGTTAAGAGAGATTAGTTTTTTATTATTAAGTACACCTTGGTGATCATACACTTATGACATAATCACAGTCAACACATTTGTCTCGGATAATATTAAAATCCGATTGCACCAATGTTACTTTGATTTTAAGCAAGACTTAAAACTCTGTCTCTCTTTCGCTTTAAAACAAGACAGAGAGTTTTAAATCTTGCTTAAAGTCAAAGTAACATTGGTGCAACTGGGTTTAAGTGGCATTGTAAAGTAAAACTTTTATGTGTTGTCACAACAGTCAACGATACTTTTTTCTTTACTTTTACTTTAGTCAGTAATCAGTTGAAAGCCATTTGCAATTTGCCAAAATTAACAATTAATGCTATCTGCGTAATGTAATTTATATAAAAATGAATTTTTACAAAGCAACTTACATTCCACAATTTCAAACGTTACATATATGCATTACGTATTCCCAGTATATTGTTGGATGTCCACAAACATTAAAATATTATAAATTTTCATGTACAAATAAATATATGGTGAATTAGTATGAATTTATGGCGTATAAAATTTTTTTCTTGATAAAACTTTTCTTGATAAAACACAGATACTTTTATCTATACAATTTTCTTTTATAAAACGCAACTAACAATGGCAATATAAAGTTTTAGTGATTTTTATTTGTTTATTGAAGATAGACGCCCATATTCCCTTCTTTATACGTAAAGATTTTAAAATTTATGACGATTGCATACTATTTATTTTAATTTTTCAAAGGTAATTATTCAAAGGTATTCCAAAACTCGACTGTCAACTCTCTTTATCCTTGTTCAATATTCAGTGAACAACAAAAGGATAAAATTATATTTGAGTTAGCAGAGTCAAGTTTTGGATGCATACCATATTTATAAAAAGAAAAATTTTTCGAAACCTTCTAGCTTACCACAAATAGACTAAACAAACGTAGAATTATTAATATAGAATGAATAATGATTAATTCATACAACTCAACTAATTGCAACGTGGCAAAAAAAAACGTTATCAAAACAAACATTATTTGATTTATTTTTTTATTTGGAACAACAAAATTTGGAATAGCAAATTTTTTTTTTAATATGAATTAGTCGGAACTGACTAAAACTGTGACAATTTATATACGTTTCTACAGAAAGTTGAATGAAGCTTATTAAATGATATCTGATTCATAATATCAATAAAATTAATCTCAATAAAACTGAATATTCAACATCAACTAATTGTCAGATATATAGACGGAAAATAAATGTGATGATTCATCTGTTATAAACATAGAAGTATATAAATATAACGTGACGGTGTGAAATATATAAATAAAAGAAAAGAAAACGCATTACATACATAGTGAAAATTTTTATCATTCAAAAAAAGGAAAGTATTTTTAACACTCATTTTTTACATCTTGCTAATAGTAATTATACTATATATGTGTGTGTGTATGTGTGTGTAATAATTTGCGATTCTTAAGTGCTAGCGATGTGGGAACGACGTTAGGCATAAGAATGAAATATGGACCACCTATCTTGCTTATTCTAGGAACAACTTAATAATTTTTGTGAATCTTCTGTCCTGCAAATATAGCAATATAAATATCGTGAGAGATAAACATATTATGTCATTGTGTAGATGCCTACAAGTTATGTACAATGATATATCTAGTTGAATTAGAATTCTTTAGGAAATGAAATTTTTGCACTAAAAACGATTCAAGTCCAACTAAAACTAAAAAAGAAATTGCAATAAATTCTTGTAACATCTTTGCAGATATTAATCCAAAAATTAAAGCAAACTTAGCACAATTTCAATTAGCGAAATATTAATTTAAGTATCATAAATGCAGCAAAAAAAATGTGACAGCATTTACTGTCGACTACGCGAAAATGCTGGAATGAACAATTGTATTATCAAATACGTAAGATCGCCAGCGAAATAATTATTTTTCAATAATTCTTGCCTTTATGAAATAGAATTTCTAAACGCTCCGTTTTCATTTTAGTCTCAATCATCGTTCTCTTTATTGGGAGAACCAATAAAGGAAAGGAGATTTGAATTTGAAGGGAGATCATATGCGTTAGAAGAATTTGGAATGGCGTTACAATTGGCTAAGAAAAGTCTGGATCAAATAAAATCTAGTTCATAATTTAATTTAGTCAATTATATCTAACTTAATTTTGTGCAAATTAATGTGAACAAGAAGTAATTATAAGATTTAGAAATATTTATTACAATATTTTTACATAAAAAGCATTTATGTCTATTTATGTAAAAATGTTTAAGTTTTATTATATTTTTTTATAAATATTGCAATACTGTAAATCCTTTTTATATAATAGATGTTACGTAATAAATTTAAAAAATTACTTGTTGTTTACATTAATTTGTACAAAATTGCAGCACTCGCTCTATACATTAAAAGTCACAATTTTTTCTACTGGCAATAGTTTTCAAAATCCTTTTGAAATATTTATTTTGTATAGTTCAATTATGTGCACTTAGAAGCGTATTAAAAACTTAAAAAAGAAAAACAATTTTCTTCTTTATAAAGAAGCTTCAATAATTCGCGATTATTTCTCCAAAATTTATTCAGATTATAATTATTTTTGTAATAATATATATTACGAATGCCAACGAGCTGCTTTTAAGCAAAAGAATATTTTTTTCACATATTACATGAATTCACAAATTTACATCATCTCTTTAGTTTCTGCGTAACACGCTTATGTTGATGATAGTATATATATGTCATTAAATAGCTTAATTTGATATTAATAAATGTTACGAAGAAAAAAAATAAACAACGAAACAGAAAAAAATCGTATGTGCAAGACTACAACATGTCAAGCTTTTTGAGACATGATTTATCCAAATGAAATACTTCCTATTTCAATGTTATAATAGATTTATAACATTAATAAAAACACATAAGTTGCGACGACCGTTACTCAACATCCATTTTTTCTTCCTCTGTTTGTTGCTGCTGTTGTTGATTGGATTGACTGTGATTGTTACCTTGGGCATTTTGATTTTGATTATTTTTCTGTTCATCAGCAGGTTTATCTTTTGGTTTTTCTTCTTTTGGTGGTTCTACTTTAGGTTTAGGCTTATTGAGAATAGGTAGTACCACACTATCCATTGCCTAAATAACAAAAAAATAAATACAATAAAAGAAAATTGTTTATGATTACAGCTGATTTTTTTTCAATACTTACTTGTTTCTCGGCTCGAATCTGCGCTACAGTAACTGGTGGTTGTTGCGTGCGAAGTGTACTCGCAAGTAGAATACGTTTCTCCTCTAACCATGTCCATTTCTCTTGCACAGTTTTCTCAACTGTTTTCACTTCTTCCTCTGTTAAATGAGAATACTTGTCATCCTTTCCATTCAAGATTTTTATTTGATCAAGACTTTTCTTAATCAATTGTAATGCCACTCCAAGTTCTTCTAACGCATAAGATCTCCCTTCAAATTCAAATCTCCTTTCCTTTATTGGTTCTCCCTGAGACTAATAAAATGAAAACGGAGCATTTAGAAATTCTATTTCATAAAAGCAAGAATTATTGAAAAATAAAAACTAGAAAAACTTGTATATAAGATCATTATGACCGAGCACATGAAGATCTTCTCGTTATTGTCCGTATATGAAGTATAAAGACCGATTCCTAATGATGCGCTGTTCTTTGAGTAACAGCGATTCCGCGACAAAACTCGTGTGAGTAATTTCAGGAGTGATTGCATTGAATGCGCCCCTATGTGTCTCTTTCAATTATTATAACGTATAAGCATTGCGTTTTTTAAATGGAGTTGTTTATTGCACGTAAATCTCCGTCAGCGCGAGTGTCCGCAAGAGCTCGTAAAACATATGAGTGAATCCGATGGACATAACATTATAAATCGATTAATATTTTATCAAATAATACCTTCAAACGCGTCAATCGCTCTGAATAAACTTGTCGTTGACAATCTTCTCCTTCTTCATAAAGCCAATTTTCAGTATCATCTAATGTACGACACAATGTTTCTTTATCTATTTCTGTAATGAATGTAGCTAATTGATCCTCTTCGGACAATTTAGCACGCAGATCATAAACATATTCTTCCAAGGCATTACGCGCGTCAACTCGTTCTTTTTCCTGTTTATCTTCAGCAATCATTTTACCCTGTTCATGAACAAAATGTATGTAATTATATAATGATTCGATGTTACAAATTTTTTTCGCTATATTGTAGACAAAATTATGCAACGTTCATAAAAGTTACGTAATGCTTGAGATATATCTTAACAATACATACTTCTTTTTCTACTGCAGCATCGAGATCTCGAGGAGATAGTCCGCAAACATTAGCTTCAATAGGTAAATCAATTGTACGAATGGGAATCTTTTTTTTACTTTTATCATCGTTTTTATCATCTCCCTAAAACAAAAAAAATTTGCTAAATATTTATCGATATATTTTGTTCGGCACTGTATTTTTTGCATGAAACCATAAAAAAATCGTTTACAAGAAAGTTTATTACTTCATATTTTTCACAATTTCTTATTTAATAAGATTTAACAAATAGGCGCACTATGTGAAATGATATGCTTACATAAATTGAGAAATTTCATCTGCATAAACACTTACCTTATTTTACAATACTTTCTTGAAACGCTTTTTTGTTTTTAATGTGATTTTACATCTTTGTGTGTATGTGTTTCTAATGTAAGAATGCAAAATCAAGTAAACAAAATTTTTATAACATAGAAAAAACTAAAATGGAATTCAGGTGATGATAAAGATGAGACAAGGATAATGGGGTATACACTTTCGTGTGTAGTTTAGAATCCGTATAGTATCGTTTCACATAACAAAAATATAGTATAAAGTAAGTTTATATAATTCGTCTATACATTCGTACTCATATAATGTATTAAATTATTTTTTTTTCTTTCTATACGAATTGAAAACTAATCAGTGTTGCCTGCCTTTATACTTAAGAATATTTGTATAATGCTTTTATTAGATATCACTGTCTCTTCCTTCTGCGACCCAGTATATAGAATAGCAGAGTAAAGACAGACAGCACAGCTGTAACACAGCTGTTCTTGGACCCATATGCATTATCAAAAAAAAAAAATGTAATTGTAAAGGTTATATTATATACTGTAATATTAATAAAAGAGCAAGCTCAATTTTTTCTAGATTTTTATAGTGCCGTTGAATAGTCGAGTTTGCAGAAGAAATCGACACAGGATCTAAAACACGAGCTTAAGCCAAACGCATCATGCATTTGATACCAATCTACAGGTTTAGCTTACAAAATACAATACATAAAACTGTTTGTTATCATATCCTAATAAAACTCATATCCTAATAAAAAAAGTTAAGGTGCATAAAAAAAAAATAAAAATAATAAACATTTCTAAATCTTAAGATATAAAATAAATGCATTATAAATTAAAGTTATATCAAGGATATTTTGATTTCTCTCAAAATTATTTTATAGAAAAAATAAAGAATGTGAATCAAATTAATTACTCAATCAAAGCAATTGATCAAAAAATGAAATGTGCGAGAATGCATTTAAAGTTGTCAAATTAATGACAAGTATACGCTTGCATTATATAACGCAATTATCGCAATTATTGTGCATTCATTGTTACGACAGAGTCAATCTAATTTCTGTTTTAAAATAAGCGATAAAGCTAGCATAATAGAAAGAATACTCAAGTTAATTGGCCCTAAATACAAAAAAATCCTCATAAAAACTCACAACAAAGCAACGATTAAGAAATTAGAGAATTTATCGCACACATGTCTCAATATGGATGTATGCGTATGGGTCCAAGTAAGAGATAGTATGCCCCGTACCGAGCCGAACCAAGAGAGAATCCTGGAGGAGTAGGAAGGGGCAGAACCCCCAGCACCTTTTCCACCATCATCAGCATCTGAGTTCCGTCGTGTCTTATCCATGCTCACCTAAACCACAATAAACTCACATAGTCATGCACCTGAAAGCTGGCAACGCACAAGATCGCACACCAGCATAGAATGATTCCAAACTTTACATACTCCATATATCGTAACATATTTATTGACAAATCAGAATCACGATATTCTATTCTAAGATCGCTATCCCTTTTCATAAACTTTAAAATATTACGACGAAATTACAAACCTCTGGAGCTGGTGGTTCGTTAGCCTGTGCATCTTGATCAGATTTATCTTTTTTATCTGTCGCTTGTGAGTCAACATCCATGTTATTCTGTCGTTGTTGCTGCTGCTGTTGAGCTTCCTCTTCTTCCTTCTCTTGTTGAGTTGGCTCACGTTTTTCAATAAGCGAAGCCGACGCAATGGTTAAAATACCGTTCAAATTCACTCTTACCTTCACCTTGACCTTTGCCGATTCACCCTCTGGCGTAGCCTTTATGTTCCTTATTGTAAATGTTCCTGCGTAAAAAAAAATGTAAGATATAAGATAAGTGTGAATAAAGTACATATGCCTCTATTTTAAAGACTTCCTTAAGAAATAAAATTTTAAGTGAGGTAAATAAAATTAAATCCATACCAATATATGATTGGGGATAACATGAAGGTGTTACACTATAACTAGCTGATAGCGTAAATGGATTCGAACGATAAAACGTCAACATTTTTGAAAATGGCACAGGATGATTATGCCCGAATACTTCCATTTCGCTAAAAAAATAAAATTAGAAAAATCATTTAATTTAATTTAATTTTTATTAGTGAGATAGCAAGATAACAGAAAATTATAATTGTACGTACCCTTCTTCACCTTGATTTGCATCCCACATCAATTTCAAAGGATATGGCTGTATATCCGTAACAGAAAATTCACGGACACGCACGGCAGGGCTCAGCATAGCACACTGTAACGCGCAACCACGAGCAACTGCTTCGTCTTGATTCAGTGTTGTCGATATCGGTCGACCAAAAATTTCCTCTACTAAACGTTTAATAGCAGGAACGCGACTCGATCCTCCCGCCAATTCGATTGCATGAATTTCCTCTAGCTTCAATTCTGCCAAATTATACATTCTTAATAGTACAAAACGGAGTATTAAATGTACATGGACCATTTTTATATTCCTACGTTAATATTTTTGCTCTTATATCTTTCACAAAAAAATATTTTAGACAAAAGTTGTACGAGAGACGGATAATGATTAAATCAATACTCGAAAAAAAAGTTTTGAGGTTGCAAAAATCAGTATCATTTTTCAAAATAAAATTGCATTTACTTTCTCCATAAAAAATGCAATTGTAATGAATAATCTAGAGATTTTGGTCCATCTAGGACAAATGAATTTACGCCAATGGAACAAATATATAATAATATATTATTAGTATAATAATATATTAGTATAATATATAGTATAATAATATATAGTAAGAGCAATATGATCAGGTCTGTAGAAGATATTAACTATTTGCGAACTTACTCGAATCTGACAAACATTGCTTAAGAGTTTTCTCAACACGGTCAAACAGATGAGCACATAGTGCTTCCATGTCGTTACGTTTCATCTCGGCGTGTACATCCTTTTCGTCCATAAAACATTCAATATTTAAGGGAAGGGTAGTTGAATTAGCTGACATTTGTTTTTTCAGTTTCTCCGCTTCTGCTAATAATCTTAAGTACGCTCGCGGATTGGTGTGTGCGTCAATGTTATATCGCGTTTTGAATTCATTACAGAAATGTTCCGTCAAAATAACGTCGATATCTCTTCCACCCAATTGATTATCGGCGGTACTTGCCAACATCTTTAACATAATGAAATAAAAATAATGTAATTTCTCTCAAGCGTTTTTGAATGACATAATTTTAATCTTGTTGTAACATTCATGTTGATTTTATAGTACTACTAACCTTAAGTTTGCCTTTATGAAAGGCACAAACGCTCACTTGCAAGCTGGCATTACCGCAATCCACAAAAACAATGTTTCTAGGAGACGCTTCTGCCGCTGGCAAATCTTGCTTATAAATACCATAACAAAGAGCAGTAGCAGTGGTCTCATTAAATAACCTCAGAACATTAAGGCCTGCAATCTTAGCAGCGTCAAGTAGAGCTTGACGTTCAGCTTGAGTAAAATATGAAGGAACTGATATGACACAATCATTAACAGCAGTTTGTAGTGCTGTTTCAGAAATATCTTTTAATTTTGTGAAGAGCATAGCAGTAATTTGCTCTGGTGAAAAAACATGCTCTTCTCCCAGATATTGTACCTAAAATATCAATAAAGAAAATATAATAAAAATAATTTTTAACAATTGTAAACCATTATGTAATTTCGGATAATGTGTATATTTATATTCATGAAATCTATATAAGCAACATAATGCAATATAATGTCATAGCATCCTTAAAAGATATAAATAAAATATGAGTCTCTTGAGAGAATCTTGGCAAAATGCCTAAATTACTTTCGATTCGTAGTTACAGAATTATATAAAAAGAAAGTTAGATCATTGAAATTTGTTACACAAAATTGCTCATTCTTCTTTTTTCCTTCTCGTTTACATAAATATATTTTATTTATAAAAGTACAAATGAAAACTTTATGATTATTTTAAATAATCTTATTTTTAAAACTTATGAAAAGAAGAGCATAAAACCACTGCACGAGATATTGTTTGTATTTAATTATCATTACATTAATAAAACATTAGACGTTTTGGCCACAATCTGGCCATCTTCAGTAAATTCACAAATAATCTTAAAACGCAGAATTACATATCTGACATTAAATTCAGCCGTCATGTAATATAATTATGTATAAACGTGTATCGATGTGGTTTCGATGTTCACGAACATTCCGACCGATTTAATATTGAAGAGTATTGAACATAGATGAAACTTGATTGAAAACAAGACTTCGATTCCTTTCCATGAGTTTAAAACAATTATGATTATAATTAACTCTACATTTTTTAAATTTGACAAAAAAATATTTAGACAGATTTTTGGCATGCCAATGGACTCTCCATTGTCCCCTATATAGCGAATATTGTTCTACAAGACTTAGAACAAGAAATTATTACTATTAATAATATTATCTCGTCTTTTTATTTCCGTTATGTTGATGACATTGTATTATTCGTGCATAAAGACAAAATTGAGAAGGTTCTGAAATTGTTTAATTCATATCATGAAAGGCTAAGATTCACAGTTGACTTTGGCGATAAAAATGGTATTAATTTTTTAGACATTAAACTAATGAGACAAGAAGGAAGAATCATCTTCGATATTTATAAAAAAACTTACTAATTCAGGGAGATATTTAAATTATTTTTCGAATCATCCATTAGTACATAAAAGGGGTGTAATCATCGGGCAATTAGATAGCATATTGCTTTTATCCCATCCAAAATTTCAAGAAAAAAACATCTCTGACTTAGTTACTCTGTTAATGAATGGTTATTCTCTTAAATTCATCTTTTCAATAATAAAAACAGAATTAAAATTTTAAAAAATAGAACGAATTTAGATAAAAATAGTGAGTATAACAATAATGAAAGCGATTCTAATTCTGATTTAAAGAAAAAGTTTTTTATAATACCATATTTAAGTAAAGTATCTGAAAATTTTAAAAAACTATCACATATTCAGAGCTTTAATATCGCTTACAAACCTATAAATAAATTGAAGATAGATTCATTAAAACTGGAAAAGATCCTTTGTGTAAAGAGGACCATTGTGGAGTAGTGTATAAAATAAATTTAAATTGTGAGTCTTCTTATATTGACCAAGGAAATTAAAAACTTGAATAAAAGAACATAAGGCTGACATAAAAAGATCCACCTCGGAGATGTCAATGGTTTCACGTCACCAGTTAAACGAAATGCACGAATTGGATTGGGATAATATCAGAATTTTAGATACAGAACAATCATTATTAAAAAGAAGAATTTCTGAAATGATAAAAAACCAAATAAATAGTATCAATAAGCAAAGTGACATTGAAAGTTTGTCCGATGTTTATCTGCCTTTTCTAAAGAAAGATCTCTCTCACACTTAATAAATAATTCTAGAACAATCTAAACTTTTGACACATATATATATATATATATAAATAGTGATAACATATATGATAAATAATAACACACAATGTCACGACGAATTTCCATCTGTGTAAAGGGAGTGCTTAAGATTCATCATTTTTTCTGTAAAACAAGTAACGATTCTATTCTCATACATTTCAACTAGAACATTTTAATGATAGGTTAATTTTTTAAATTAGAATCTGGAAATTCTTGTTCTACATAATTTGGAATATGACAATTGGCGCTGCAACATTGTTGTATGATGCACCTTCACAAGATGAAAGAATACGTTTATACATAGTTATATTACATGATGGCTGAATTTAATGTCAGATATGTAATTTTTCATTTTAAGATTTTTAATGTCAGAATTGAATTTAATGTCAGATATATGTTGTAATTCTGCGTTTTAAGATTATTTGTGAATTTACTGAAGATGGCCAGATTATGGCCGAAACGTCTAATGTTTTATTAATGTAATGATAATTAAATATCACAAATAATATCTTGTGCAGTGATTTTATGCTTTCCTTTTCATAAGTTTTGATTTATAAACCACGTTCGTTTTTATTATATATTTTTATTATATAATCTTATTTTTATTTTTATAATTACAATTTATATTGTTCTCACAAACAGTATTAAGATAATAGAAATTAACAAAATCATTCTTTTCCACATTCTGATACAATACTTACGTGTATATTGATACTTCCATCAGCTTGCGGAGTTATTTTATATGGAAGAAATCGCAACTCGCATTGAACTTGAGGATCATTATATTTTCTACCTAATAATCTTTTAAAACCATGAATAGTATTCTTCACATTGGTTACCATTTGGTTCTTAGCTGCAACTCCGAGTATTCGGTTTTTCCCACTAAACGCCACACATGACCTAGAAACCAGTATCATTTTTTTGTCTGTTACTGACATCATATATCAGTCATACATAATTGTATATAAATGATATATATAAAAAAAAAAAAAAATTTGCATTTTACTCTTGATATTTCATACATATAAAATCAAATATTAGAGATGAATTTTATATATTTTTATTATCAATATAAAGTGTTGTATAAACAAAGAAAAAAAGCGATATTCATAAAATGATGAATTAAAAAAAAATAATTTTTTATGGATACATGAGTTGTAGAAGATCGGATTAATCGCTGAAAATCGCATCACCGCATCCGGATTTATAGACGATTTATGGAGGATAAATATAAACGTAGTGACAACTCCAAAAGGAAAGCAAGGAAAGCTCCTACGCAGGCGGAGCAGGACTTTTTGGGATAGACCAAAACACATGAATGTGTGACGCTATGCCTGTAAATGGTATTATGGTAATGCGATGTTCCGAAGAGTGCGACGATAATCCACGCGCGTGTAAAACTTCGGTCTGCGAGTCTTTTTCATTTTAAAGTTTTTTTTATCAATAATTTATTGCACGGGAAATTTAGAAAAAAAAAAGAAAAACAATTTCCATGTCTCGACACGTAAAGAAAGTTTTGAGTTTTTTGTCCGATCATCGTTGAGTCTTTTGGAAACAGTCGAAATTCGATAGGCCCCAAATTTTAGGTTCACTAAGCGCAAAAAACCGGGAAATTGTTCCTCTTGAAGTCGCAATGGTATCGGATGGAAGTGAGGTTGCAGGACAAGCTATATATTTCCAAATGGTACTTCGGGATAAAAAATCTGAGAAAAGGGGGAATAAATTAAATTCGGATTGGAAGAAATACGAGTGTTAGGATTGCGGCGCGGCGTGGCGCGACGACGTGACAACAAGGCCGGTATCCCTCTCAATCCCAAAGAGTAACTTACGGAGTACTGCGAAGACTATAGTCATTCGCTATGGTTTCGATGCCGCCGGCGCGGGCGACAGCTACGTAACAGCTCTCATTACCAAAGTCGATCCCGATCACGGACATCGCGGCCATGGCTGATTCGACTGAATCGACAATTTCTTCAGTGACACGAGATACGTGAGGAACGTTCGACGTTCAGCACTTCGTTGGTACTCGTGTGTCCTCACCTCTGTGAGAATCGAGACTCGACGAGATTCACGGTGATTCACCGTTCACTACCAGACACGCACGATGTTCCGTAGGAAACGCTTTCCAACGCACGACACAAGCGGTCACAAGAGGTATGATACGGCACGACACGGCGACGGCACAGCCACTGCCTTCTGCTAAGTTCGCTTCAAAATTGGCCAATCATGGCAGCGCTGTGGCGTGCACCGATTGGCGCGCCATCCGCTCTGGCGGTTCTGGAATATTCTGGAAGCCCTACGAGATTGGACGACTTCGAACACCGTCGCGAATGCGACATTTCTTCGAAAATTCTCGAAAAAAGTCAAACGCGCCGGTTCGCCGTTGCGTTCACAGCACGACCGGCGCAGCGAGTGTCACCGGATACAGCGGCTGAATGGCACAGGTAACAAATGGTAGAGAGTAACCGTCGCGTGATCGCGAAAAATATTTAGTCGATATATAATTCAAAAATTATTATATCTCATATTTTCTCGAATTCTTTTAATTTATAAAGATTTGTAGAAAATACTTTAAACTTTTTTCAAAATTTTCAAATTTTATGAATTTAATTTCTTTTGCAAATTATAAGAAATTGTAAGAATTATAGAATGAAAATATTTCTTTTAGTTTATAATTTTAAGAGAAAAATTAAGTAAATGTTATAGTAATTAATTAAAAATAATATAAGACGAAAAAATAAATAAATTCATACCGTATCTATCTTTTGTCCAAGTTCAAAAGGTTACGTTATAATATTTCAGAAATATTGCAGATATATCTTTTTCATGATATATTCTATCTAGAATTAAATTAATGTAGCGACTATATTGTTATAAAAGCTCTTTTAGGAAAATATTTTAATCCTGCGAAATAATATTCTGCAATATTAATATTTTGTACTATAAAAATATCTTTTTAATTATCTTTTCTTAATCCTAAGAATTACTAGAAAGATATACAGCAAGTAAATGTATAATAAATCGAAATTAATAGACATTAATATCTCTTTATAGAGAAATGAGGAAGGGAGGAAGGCATTTAAAAAGAAAATCGTCCTTGGAATATAAAATAAGTATAACGAATAATATGTTATTTATCATATATATTTAACAATTTAAATAACATCCAAGAATTAAGAATTTATTGAAATTACGTTACTTTTAAATCTCTTATATGAATATTAATTGTATTTCAATAAACAATTAGCAATTTCTCGCTATAGATAAAATTATGTGGTTGTCTCAGTTGCGTTGATACGAATCATAAAGATAAACAATTGTGTCACTTTGTTTCACAATCATCTGGAATAATAATAATAGTAACAACCGCCTATAGGAAACGGAAATCGATTCATGATACATACAGACACACATATTATGCATTATATCTTGTTCTTTTAGCTGAACTTTTGCACCAGTTCATCTTCCTTCCTTTTCTCTTCAAGAGGAAAAAAGAAGAAGGAAGATGAACTGGTGCAAAAGTTCAGTTAAAAGGAACATGCCTTATATGTATGTATATAGATTTTTATGTATAACGCGCGCTCGTGGCGACTCCAGACTCCATCTGTAATCTTAAGATTCTTGAGCGGCGTCTTTAAATGCGTTTCGATTGTTTCGAGCGGTCGACATACGTGACACATGTTTGTAAATCCAGTGAAAACTTGACGGATCAATATGTTACGATTGTGTATCTTAAAATTGTGTCATGCGATGAAAAGTACCGGAAGGTCGGAAAGACTTTTGAGTCAAATATATTTTAAAAACAACAATCGTTTTAATGATGTCATGTGTTGGGACTGTCGAAGAGGTTATGCCCAACATTCCTCATCGCTAGCACCTCCTATTTATACACTGAATAGACTACTGGACAGAATTTCTTTTGATTTTCCTGCAACACTTCCGACAGCTACGAAAGAAAAATATAATGAATATGGTAACAAACGTGGCAGGAGACGGTACAAGCATTTAGGAATATTCTTGGGCAGTCTTGGGTTTGTAGTGGCTTTTTGTGACACTTCACATTTTAAAGGTATACACTGTGATTAAATAAAGATGAAAAATATATATTACATAAAATTGAATCACATACAAATAAATAGATAATTCTTAATATTCTTTGCAGAAAAAAAATTCTTTCGCGCTGTCCAGTATGGTAATATTTCAGAATTAAAAAGGGTAAGAGTTTTCTCGTATTAAAATTGTGATTGATATTGTTGTACTGTAAAGAAAAAATAATTCATAATTGTAATTTCCATTGACATTAAATGTTTTATACATTGTATTACAAAACTGCATATATATATATAATAGTATAAAAGGGAGAAGAAAAATAAAAAATACTGTATATATGATAATAATAGAAAATATTATGTATATGATACTATGTATATGATAATATTTTTCTAGTCTATAGCAAGTGGCATTGATGTAAATATCAGACATCCATTGGGTTGGACAGCATTGCAAACTGCTGCTATAAATCAAAAGGAAGACATTATAAAAATTTTATTGGACAATGGTGCTGATGTAAATGCGGGAGACAACTTTGTTAATGTCTATAGAACTGCTATGGAAAAGGGTTTACCTTCTTTGGATGGTATTTTTTTATTTTTGTTTTATGTATAAATTGTTATTAATGTTAAAAGAGCTAACGAACACAAGAATACAATCTCTTGTAAATATTAAAATTTAAGAAATTAATCTTTTGATATTAATGATTAAGTAATAATAGTATTGATTTCAATTTGAATATTTTAGTTCTTACAAAAAGAGAAGAGGAATTTTCTGATCGATTAAATAATCGAGCTACTTTCCAAGGCTTTACTGCATTACACTATGCTGTGTTAGCTAATTCAGAAACTTGTGTGAAAGCATTATTAGATGGAGGAGCAAATCCAACTATAGAAAATGAAGCAGGACACAGAGCAGTTGAATATGCTAAAGAAAGAGAAATGAAAGAGATGCTCATTAAACATGCTATTAAATATGATGAAATAGTAAAAGAAAAGGTACTAAAATTATCTTATATTCTACTTAAACTGTCTTTTTTATTTTTTTTTTTATATAAAAGTTGCATGTATAAGATTATAAAAACGTTATAAAAACAAAATTTCATTCCTGAAAGTATGTGTCTTAGCAACATATGTTTAGGTAGAAGTTGTATGATCTGAAAGAGAATAAGTTAATAAATAGTAAGGTCACACACACACACACACACACACACACACACACACACACAACAATTAAATGAGCTATAATTGTTTGAAAGTTATGTGAGCGTTAAAGAATTATTTGTAACTTATGTTTTAATATTGAAAGAGAATAAATAATGTAAAATCAATTTTTGCGTTTTAAACATATTTGTATCTTTATTATTTACTAAGTTATGATCATTTCGTTAATTTTTCTTAAATTTTTAATGTAAAATTTTTTTTTCGGAATGAATGTATAAATATCTAAAGTTAAACTAATCATAAGCGTTGGTTTAAAAGTCATCTATCCATGTGATGTGCGTGCAATAGTATTAGATACTGAACTAAACATTGTCGCTGTAGGCATATTGCACAAATGACTTTAACCAATATTTATAATTGACTTCAATCTTTAAATGTTCATATTTAAAAACCTATAATAAGAAAAAAGTAGCTTATACTTTTATTATTTAATTTTCATGAAATTTCACACTACAATAATGTTACCCTCGAATTTCCGGATATCTTATATATAAATAAAAAACAAAATATAACGAAAATTTTCTGCTTAGGAAGCAGAAGAACGTCGCAGATTTCCATTAGAACAACGTTTGAAACAACATATTGTAGGACAAGAGGGTTCAATTTCCATTGTTGCTTCCAGTAAGAATTCTATAAATTTATTAATTTTATTAGAAAATTTTATTGTATTAGTTTATTAATATTATCTAATATATTAGCTATCAGAAGGAAAGAAAATGGTTGGATAGACGAGGAACATCCACTAGTATTTCTCTTTTTGGGTTCATCGGGCATTGGCAAAACAGAATTAGCCAAACAATTAGCTGCTTATATTCACAGAAACAAATCAGATAGTTTCATTCGATTGGATATGTCTGAATATCAGGGAAAACATGAAGTTGCAAAATTAATTGGAGCCCCACCAGGGTATAGTTATTTTTATTTTAGCTTAATTTTTTTTAATGTTTTATGTTTTAAATTATATTTACTGTTTAATATAACAGCAATAAATGTTAAACTTATTGTTTAGATACGTGGGACATGATGATGGTGGACAACTGACAAAACTTTTAAAAAAATATCCATCTGCTGTTGTATTATTTGATGAGGTTGACAAAGCGCACCCTGATGTTTTAACTGTATTGCTGCAACTTTTTGATGAGGTAATTATTGTTATTATTTAAATTATTTATCAGTCTATAGGATTCACTGCAATAATATTTATTTTTAAGGGAAGACTAACTGATGGTAAAGGTAAAACAATCGAATGTAAAAATGCCATTTTTATAATGACATCAAATTTAGGAAGTGAAGAAATTGCAGAACATGCAATACAACTCAGAGCAGAAGCTGAAAGACTATTAAACCATAGGTTAGCTAACACTACTGATGAAAATCAAGAGCCAGAACATATCGAGATATCCCGTAATTTTAAAGATCAAGTGGTATGTAAAATGAAAAAGTATAAGAGATATTTTAAAACATGTAGAAAATTATATAATAAAATTATTTTACAGGTACGTCCAATACTTAAAAATCATTTCCGGAGAGACGAATTTTTGGGAAGAATAAATGAAATTGTATATTTTTTACCATTTTCTCGGACAGAATTAATAGAATTAGTCGCCAGAGAATTAAAAACATGGGCTAAACGCGCAAAAGAAAGACATATGATTGAATTAAAATGGGATAGAGAGGTTCTATCAGTATTAGCAGACGGATACGATGTCCATTATGGTGCTCGTTCTATTAAATATGAAGTGGAAAGACGTGTTGTTAACCAATTAGCAGCAGCTCACGAACGAGGAGAACTTGGTATATATTTGCTTTTTTTCCTCTTGCTTAAATATTATGATTTTCTAATGAAATTAAAATTTTTTATAGGTAAAGGATGCTGTGTATTATTAAAAGCAAAATGGCATGAAAGTGGAGCAAGCATAACCCTTTCTGTTCAGAAGAAGGGTTCAGAAAAGTTTGTTGATATCGCAGAAACAGATAAATTAACGAAAAATATTAGTTTAAAATTTTTATAATTATAGAATATAATTTTACTTTAATAATTTATACAAAACACATTGTCATTTAAGAAGGAAGTTTATATGTAAAAATCTGCTACTATTTGTTATGATACAATGTACAAATGTATAAATGATAAAAAAATCTATTAGATGTATGTATATGTCATCTATTAGATGTTGTATAGTAAATACAGTGTCATGAAAATTTATTTCGTTAAGTTTAATATATATTTTGATATTGTTCTGTTACATTTATACTAAAGAAATAATTTTTTTACTGAAACTCTCAATGTACGATTATTTCATTGCACATATACATTATAAGAGAAAGTATAAAATGAAGACATACGTATACATATATATATAAAAGAAAAAATACAAAATTTTTAAAAAGTATAAAGTTTCGAAAAAAAAATAAAAAATAGAGTTCTTCATTACGTCCTTGATTCCGGGATCGGTTGAGAACAAAGAATTTATTTCTCTGAGAGGAGCTGGAAGGCAAAGGAAACTATTTCTGATTTTGCCATCAATTGTTATACTATATTTTGGTGTGCTAATAATATAACGAATATGATCACGAAAATTAGTGACAAGATCATTTCCAATGTCAAATATGAAAAAAATGTCTGAAACGTATGTTTTTTTAATATTTGATGTTGAAAATGACCTTGTGTCGGTAATTTCCAGGATTATATTCATAGTCAGCTCAAATATACAGTCCAAATATACAGTCTATCCAATCGATACCAAAATCGAAAGGTTCAGGCATTCGGAACTTTATCATTGTAAACACATATTTGCATATTTGTGGAAAAAATGTATCGTGAGCATTCAAAAAAATTTTAAGTGTTTCGCTTATTTGTTATAACGACGAGACAACTTGAATAACTAGAAGTACACTTCTGAAGATAATAAATTGAAACATCTTTGAACGCCAACAATATCGAAATATTCAATCTGATCCAAAAACTAAAGTAACGATAAAATTTATGGCTAAATCGTTATCGTTACAGATAGAAAAAATGAAATGTTATACATATTTCATAAAACATTCCATTTTTTACTTAAAATGTTGCCATACTGAATGTGTTTTATTTCATGTTTCTAAATTAATTTAAGAATAATTATATATTTTTGTAAAGGTATATACGAATTAATTTGATTCATACGCAATTATATATTTTTTAAACATAATGTAACTGAAACATTTTTCTTTTTTTAATTATTAAACAATTCCTTTCAAATTTGATTTTGCAAATTTATTACTAAAATAATTTATCATATCGATTCTGCCAAAATATTTTGAAATTACAATTGCGTGTCAAATCAATATGTTTCTACACCTAGTTTTGTTAATATACCTGCATATAATTATAGATCACAAATTCTGAGTTCGTCTTTTCTGTTGAATACTAGAACTTCTTGATAATGATAATAAATTTATTTAATTAGATCGGCATTAATTGTTAGTAAATAAAATGTTTAATGAACATAATTAAAAGTTTCAGAGATTCAACCAAAAGTATTAATCAAATCCCTGTAATTAAATCTAACAAATGTTTTAGTTATAAAATATTGAGTCAGTTTCAACCAGAAATTTTGTTTGTTCAAAATGAATTCTACCATATATGTTTCGTTGATATAATTATAATATTTTTCACAATATACATATAATATAGAATATATTAGTAATATATGTCAAGAATAGAAATATCGTAATATTTAAGTAAATACTTCATTTTATGGGATGTTTCTTCACACAATGACCTGGACCTTGATATATATGTTGTCAAAATCATGACTCATGAGTGACCTCCAACAAGTCATCACTCGTATTTAGACATTATTCGTTAAAAAGTTATTAAGAAAAAAAAATTGAAAAAATAATGTCTTATTTCTGCTACAGGATTATCTCACATTCTTCTTTGCTTATGTAATGACTTTCTACGCGAAACAAGATCGATCCACCCGCATAAAAAGTCTTTATGCCCTTGATGGGGTGAACCTCGCTTCACATGCAAAATTAAATGTTTAAGCAGGGGCGGGAGAGGTCATTCAGAATCATGACTTTGACAATGTATGTCAAGATCAAAGTTGTCCGTTATTGTAGGTTATCAAATTGTAAATTATCAAATTTATTACTAAAATTACACTTTGTAACTTTAATATCTGAGAAATTACATAACGAACCGTTTTTAAGGCAGACTATTCAGTTACTTGGATGACCTTAACAACATGTATAGGTCAAGGTCACTGCGTTATCCGTTAATGCAAATAATTATCGATCTTACTTCGCATGGAAAGTCGGATGCCGCTAAACAAAGGGGAAGTGGACCTCGTTTCGCGTGGGAAGGCATTGCATAAGCAAATAAAGGATGCCCTAAATATTGTATGTGACAGAGAAATAAGATGTTATTTAAAAAATTTTTTCGTTAATAACTTTTTAACGAGTGCTAAAATCTATTGAAAGTTACTCAGGATCATAGTCCTCACAACATATGTCAAGGTCAAGGTCAACGGAGAAACATCACATAAAAATGAACATTTACCAATATATATTTGTATGTATGTAAGTTTTAAGCGTACAATTTGAACTGCACTTCCATGTCATGGAAACGTTTCTTCACATTTAAATCTTTAAAGGTTTCTTTCTTTACATTATATATGTGTATACATATATATTTATTTATTATAATATTTACTTTAGATATACTTAGTATTCATTAACATTTAATTCTTTTTTTTCCAACAATTGGTCATTACAGCAATTCGATTGACAAATTGTAGATATTTAAACGTAACGATATACAACGTACATATATATGATTAAACCCTCTGGTAATCTCTCGGCAGGCTTATTGTTTTTCAATATTTAAAATCGAAAGAAATAGATTTGATAAATAAAAATACAAATTTTTAATATGATAGGTATAGTAGTGAATGTCGGGTATAGTAGTGGTCGGATATTTTTCCTATTTGTAATTTGATTCATGTGAAAATCAGACTTTATTTTCTGCGGTTTAGTAGAAAAATAACTGTGTGCATATACTTGTAGATATACTCACCAAACAAGTTGATATTATTTGTTGTCATTTTAACATTAAAATGATGTCCTTAACGTTATTTGACATCAAAATGACGACAAATAACATTAGTTTGTTTGCTAAGCATTGCTAAGAATGATTTATGCGGATGACAAATCAATGTTTGTCTTTATTGAGTTAATCACGATTTGATATTAAATGAAAGACATTTTGAATTTTCTTCTTTTACACACATTATGTTCCAATTTGTTTAGTATATGAATTATACATTCGACAAAATACACATTAATAACGACAATCAATACGCTATCACAATTAGCATGCTTTGTTTGCAGGAATATTAGGCTTTATTGATCAGTCAATAAGCTATAGACACGGCCGGAATACTTTAAATATTTTTTTAGACCATATTTGTCATACAATGACAGAATTTAGGTTTTCAATGTAATCCTTTTTTTCTAGAAGAGAAGGAAGGAGTAGAAGTATAATAATGAGAAAAATACGAGACATACCTGAGAGAAAGATAGCTTCTTAATAAAGACAGATTCACAAATTTAATTAGAGCGTACTTAGACCTGATAACTGTCTTCTCAAGTTGTATCTTATTTTATAATTATTAGTTTGTACATTTAATTATTGATTTGTTAAGCGAAACGTGAAATCTGTCTCTGTTTTTGCTTCACAGCTTGGATCACGTTTTCTTCATTGTCATTTCGCGAAGAATCTTTATTAATGCATGAATATTTCAAAAATACGTCTCTAAATCGTTTAGGTATCCAAAATTAAGAAATGCGCAGTTGGACTACGCGTATAGCTCAAATTGTTGTGCAATGAATGAAAATAGAAATATAGTGCTTGTTAGTGTCTCTGTTATGGATATACGAAGAATATTTATATGAAGATTATTTTCTTTTCTTCTTGAGCATCGACATTCAATGCGACGAAATGTTATGGATCTTTAACGATCAATATATCTATAAAAACGCAGAAGAACGATTTCTTGATGCATCACGAGATTCTCTGTTTTCTTTTTTTGTTAAGACGAGAAATACATATTGTTTTTTGTCATTTTACATATAATCGCTATATTTTTCGTATGTTATATGTTTATTCGATCTTCGTTATGTGACATTACACAACGATAGATTGTAGTTCTTTCGATCAAGGACGTGAATTATTCGGGCAATCAAACGGTTAGATCGTAACGATGATCAAACTAATGTAGCGTGTGCCACTCAGCAATTTGCTTTCTCGGAGACTGCGTCATTTGAAGCCAATGCTCCCGTCCTTGATTGTTACCGCTGTCCGCACTTGTAGCCGGTCCAATGATGCAGGATCCGACAATAGCATTTCCACCGATGAGTTCACTGCTCGAGTCCAACACGCATATCTTACATAGACATAATTATGTATAAATTAATTTTTTTCATTTCATTTGACTTAGATGTTTTTTATTTGTGCATTTAAAAAAACATATCGACTGTTATATATACCTCTATAGCCGACGATGCAAGTAATGAGGCAGGTATATTAAACGACATTGCTTCATTCCAAATGGGATTTGTCGTAACCTTCCTAACGGCTGTTTTTTTCTTCTTTACTTTTCTTTCTCCACAAAGAAGACTAACTTTCGCGAACGGATCCAATGTTTCCTTATCCTGTATCACATATTTAGAACGCTTATTGTTTAAGATAATTACTAAATAATTAGACGATATATAGGATGTTCCTTAACTTGAGCATCTAAAATATTTTGCTTAATTTTTTATGATGGGAAAAAATATTTCAGATGAAAGTGGGACGGTTTCAAGGGAGATGTACTTTAGTCATGTTGTTTTTCTTCTGAGTGTAGGCGTCAAAAAGATATGAAGTCACATCTATTTTTTTAAATGGAATTGTATGATTTTTTACACAATATGATTTCTCTAATTATTCTGCATATAAAAATATTAAGACAGAGATATAAAAAATCCAATAATTTACAAGATCTTTTATAAATTAAATTCTTAATTCTAACACATATTGATACAAAATGTTAAATAACTCGTAAATTATAAATTTTTTTAATAATCGTACCTTAATACTTTATTATAAACAGAATAATGAAATGAATGAATTGGTGTAAAAAAACACATAGCAAATTTTTAATTAACATTATTATATAAACATTTCTATTATTCAGAAACAAGTAAAAAAATTACTTTTTTTTTTAAAAGATGAAGAGCGATTACAGAAAAAAGAAACCTATTATTTTGATATATCGATGTAATATGATCTAATTATTATATATATTCTACCTGTTGGGGAAACAGATTTCTAGCTTTCATCATGAGAACCGTGAGTCTCTCAGCACTCGGTAAGTAAGATAATGAAACCAAAACCTCTTGAATTTCTTCCGGTGGTTTTCGTTCCCTCGTTATCTCACCCCAAACTTCTATCGAGGAAGTAGAAGAAACCAATTCAAGGCTATCCATGGCCACTCTCACTGAGCCCACCATATCATTTCTTGAAAAACGATCGTAGTCAAATACCTAATTACAATGTTATACGTTATTTCAGATCTTGATTAAATTATGAAAAATGTGTTCTATTCTATTCTATAAATCGATCATATAAATCGATTTTATACAATATTCAATGATATGTAATTGCCTGTAAAACTAGTGTCTTCTCCTGCAGTTCTTCATAGCTAACGGGAAATTTGAAATGCTGATCAAAAAATGGATTTGGATCATTTCGATGGATCTGTGTTTGTCTTTTCCTGCTGTCCACTTCTGGGCTAAGAGTCAACTTAACATAGGGATCGTTAAAACCACCTTGGTCGCTGCCTGCGAGATTGTGTGCCTCGATCAAATGCACGTCTAAATCTGATTTATCAAAATCGTATCTCAAGCGCAGATGAAGCCTGCCCAAATGCTTTCCCGTCCTACGATTGCACAAAAATTGGTTTTTTTTTACGTAACGGGAAATACCAATTTAATATCATCAGGAATATTTTATAAGCAAAGTTTTATTATGTACCTGCGAGCGCTAAGAAAGACAGGACCGTCACGTCTTTGATAAAGATCTGGTTGTAAAGAACCAAGAGGAGAAGCAGGTGGAACGGGACCACTATCGCTACTACAGCAATAAATTTTATAACATCTTTCTGTGTGCTTAATATTAATAAAAGTTCACAATAAAACTTTAATATAATTATTGATAATACAAGCCTGTAGACCTCTTTTTAATCAATGCTTCATAAGAGAAAGAAAACTGATATTATTATCAGAATATTTATTTAAAAATTTATAAAAAAAAAGAATTGTCAAGAATTATCCATATTTATTAAAATTAATTGTTCTGTGGAAATAATATTATACTGATACATATTATAATACATTAGACATATATATATAAAAATATTGTATGTATATAAGAATATTGACACTTTCGTCGTGTATTTATCTGAATATTATTATATCTCCTTTATATAGAAATAACGTTATTTACACTTTTATAAAGAATTCAATATATTTATCACATTTATGAGAATTTTATAATTATATACCTTATAGAAGCATGTGGCGATGGAATGAGAAGAGGCGATAAGCAACGACTGGTCTGTCTGGAAGTACTTTGAACGGCATTTATCGGTGAACACCCGCAAGTGGAACTTATACCCGTTGCTACGGATGATAAAGAGGTCTGTGAAGGTAACGTATTTCCACCATGCAGGCTGCCCGTGTAACTGGCAGGACTTGCACAACGTGCATCCAAGGATGCTGCACGAGCTGGCGAAGGAGATCTGGGAAAATTTTCCAAACTATTATACATCCACGTATTGTATTTTGTGTAGAACATTGCATTTTAATTTTACTTCCTTTTTTAATGTTATTTTTTATTTTTGTTTATTATATGTTTTAGAATACATTTATAAAATGATTTTACGTAAAGATAGATATTGCAAAATATATACTTGAAGCCTTTTTTTGTATTTTTAATGTCTTTTCCCATGAATCATATCTTTTTTTTACTAACCTCGAGCTTCTGCCAGGTGGATACGAAGAGGCGGCATGTAAAGGTTCATGTTGAACATGATGCCGTCCGTTCGGATCGAATGCTCTGATTTGAGGTGATGATCCCCGATAATTTGAAGAGCAAGATGCTCCCTTCGGCAAACTCTGTGAGGTGATAGACGAGTCTCTCGCCAATGTTCGACCGCTACTTCCACCATCGCTTGGATAACTGCGACTTTGATGGGGTAAACCTCCAAGGGAAATGTATTATATAAAATTAAGCGGATTGAAAAATTATTATACTAATAGCTAAAAGAAATAATTTTCGAAAGTCTTGCAATTATGCGCGATAATGGTTTATTTAATTTATTATAAATTTCTTCGTTCTATCCGTGAGAATGAATGATGTGCCAAACGTGCATCAATATTGAGAAAAAAATCTCTAAATGAATAATCAAATATGCGCGAAATAGTTGCATTAGAAATTATTGGAGAAGATCTTAAATGTGTTTTTTGATATTGGTGTAATTTTTCAGAGACAAATACCTATGAATCATTTTCATAATTATAAGAAGGCAAGTTACTTTTTCATCTTAAAAAATAGCCATATTTAGGAATTTATCTACAGAAACTATTAAATGAATATAATATGTTTGAATTTTATTACGGAAGGAATGATTTTGCTCAAGTATTTAAAAGTTTAGTTAAATACAGATCTGAAAATAATTTGGTTAAACCATTAAAATAATTACATAGGAATCTCAAGCACGAAGAGCAATACTGCAAAAAGTTTTGATATTCTAGCAACAAGTTTGAGCATTCTACATAATTATTTTAATAATCTAACAAAATTACTTTCAGATTTAAATCTAGCTAAATTTTTAGATACTTCAGCAAAATCGACCTCTCTTTCTGTATGTATGTACAATATAATTGCATAACAGATACGTTTAATTTAAAAAATTTATATTTATTTTTTATGCGAAAATGATATCATAACATCCATGGATATTTAATTCTGCTTGCAATTCGTGCACATTTCCATAATTTGCATGATTTATGTTTGTACAATAGTCTAATTTAAAGAATAATAAACTTTTCTTATAAAATAGTATTGAAATTATAAAAAAAACAATACAAATAAACAGTCACAAAGGAGGATATTGCGAGCGAAAGTCAATTTATTTAGAAATCTGACGTTAAAATCTATAAAACCTGTTGTTTTGCACACAGCGTTCAAAACAGAAAAAAATCTATTCTTCAAAAAATCTGTAACATACATAAGGAAGAACGTTTCAGTTATTGGCAAATCAAATTGAACATTGTATAAATAACATTCAGGTGCTGTGCATAACACATCTTCTAATAATTTACTTCAATTGAAAGAAACTGAAGACAGTATGTACACCTTTAAAACATTCTTTAATTTGTAATACCTTTTATGATAATTTTAACTACTAATGGTAGTCAAAACTTAATCGAAATGTTTAGATTTTATAAATTTTTATACTTTTAACTATTTATATTTTTATACTTTTATACTTTTATACTTTTTCAGATTTTTAAATAAATTGACTTTCGCTAACAATATTCTGCATTACGGCTGTTTACTCTTTATTTGTATTGTTTATATTTTAAGCCACTTTTATAAGTTTTAATTTATAAAAAACAATTGTATTTTTATATCATTTTATAAGATAAATCAATCTACGAACTTTCGGCAGTTAACGGGATAGTTAACAATTAATATATTAACAAACAATTATAGGATCTCTTTAAAAGCATTCATATATAATTACCCGATTCGGTTGTCGACGATTGTATCGTGTGTTGCTCCTTCGCGACAAATTCCTAAAATAAAAAATTAGACGATTAGAATTTTCTTTAATATGCCAACAATAAATCAACAGGAAGCCCGCTGAGTAGATTTTTAATTAAATATATTAAATATATAGAAACGCATGAGGGCATGTAACTCTCGCTCCAATTTTGCTCCAATTGTAGAACTTTACAGTCCCAATACTTTAACCAGTATCAGGTTTACTATGAACATAAAAGAGAATAGACAGCTCCCTTTCCTAGATGTTGTCACAAAAAAGGCTGACAATACCCTGAGGCCATCAAATATACAGGAAGCCAACATACACTGATAGATACCTACATATCGAATCACACCATCATCTAGCACAAAAACAGGCACTTATTTGTACATAAAACATTAAATATCTTTGATAAAGAACACCTGCAAACAGAACTTTAGCCACTTAAAATAAATCTTGCAATGAAACGGATACATTAAGAAGAATATAAATACACAATCAGCAAACACAGGATCAGGACAAAGAACAGGATGAGTTAAACAAGAAGCTTTTCTATCCTCCCATATATAAAAGGAATAACAGACTAAATCAGTAGGATTTTGAACAAACGCAAAATCCAAATCATTTTTGAACCCTCAAGGGAAATTGGGCAAATCTTGAAAAATCTTAAAGACCGAAAGTCTCCAATTCAATTTTGCAAGATTATATAAAATACCTTGCTCCTGCGAGAAAGTATACATCGGTGAAATCGGAAGAACGATCAATGTGCGCATGAAGAAAAATCGAATAATCGAATTATACTAAACGGAATGTTATACTAAAATATGTCATACAATCATTGGTAGAACACAGAATTGAATCAGAACACCATCAAATACTATTTGATAAAACGACTATTATAGCTACAACGGCATCATATTTTCCAAGAGAGTACAAGGAGGCTCTAGAACTTTAAGATAACTTAAACAGAGACATGAGCTATAACATAAGTAAAATATGGAAGATCGTTCTTCCTCCTCTTCCTTCCCCCCCTCTCCACCAAACACTCCCCTTTAACAAAGTTTATATGAAGGGAATCTTCCGAAGAAGTAGCTCAGTATTAGTGTGCTTCTCGCTCTGATGAAACGAACAACAAGAAATGTTGGAATCATTAGGAATGAATTATGACACGACGATAACTCATAAATTAGCACCACTGAAGTCCGCTAAAAATATAAATATTTAAATATAAGTGTAATATATAATAAGATTAAGAAGCAACAGAATTTCTCGAGCTAATGATAACGTCATTATAATGGAGATCAAGAAAATATAAGTTAGTTTGTAATTTAATTTGTTAATCAGTTTCTTGGTAAAAATCACTTCAGAAATCAAATTTATTTGTTTATTATAATAGAGTTCCTTATTCCTCCTACAAGATTATCAAATGATTCCAATCAAAATTATGTAAATAATTTATCTGAACGTTCGTTAGTATTACTGTTAATGATTTTTATGTTTAGAAACTCTAGTTTTTAATAATTTGCGAATTTGTCCTACACATGAGGCATTGCACTCTCCTTACAATTAATTTTGTATACTACTCTTGAGCGGTTCGAAGAAGTCAGTCTTTTTGTGGTTTAATCTAATTTAGTTTATTCATACTAAAGTATGCAAGTTTTAAATTTGAAAAATTATTGAGAAATCTAGTTAATTTATCTAAGATGAAAAATACATAAGGAAGAATGAAAAAAATTTTGCCTTATATGAATGCAGATTTATTATATTGATGTTTGCTAGAATTATTATACCGTTGAATATTAATAAAACTTTTTTTCTCAATTGTTTTAAAAAATAAAATATATGGGTCAGAAGAAAGGCAATTAATAAATTAATATTTTTATTATGGAATTCAGGATAAAAACATAACATTGCATACCAATTCCATGATAATGGCCCTCTTCTGAGAAACATGTGATTAGAAAAAAAATTTACATATCTTCCAAAAAAATGTAGATTATATGATATCAATCATATGTTAATGTATTATTAATCGATATAATAAATATGTCTAAAAAGTTTAATCGTTCAAAAGTTAATTCGTTTACCATCGAATTTCAATGTATTTAAGTCTAGAATGGCAATTGTTGAACTCATCCAATAAATAGATCTTGATGCTCTAACAGAGCAGTGAATATAATTATATTTCTTAAAGAAATGCGATTTTTATTTGATATCTTAAGGGTTTTAAGGATAGTTCTTCAAATGGCGAAGATAGTCAAATGATTTCTCTTTGAAGTTTCAAAGTATCTTTCATAAGTCCTTCATAAGAACGAACCTTTGAATTATAAAGTCAGGGAGAGGAAAAGAAAGACTCAAAGATACCAACTTTATGTTTCATCGTACCGAGAGGACAGGTATAGTTACGTGAGGTCGCTAGAAGCTGCCTTTGACGGATCGATATTTGGAACAGAGCATGAACAGAATCCACGGTTCCGCCCAACAAACCAAAACATAAAAATCGTCATCATTTTGCTATCGACGATATTATTTCATCGATTTATGTTTGTTGCATACAAAAATTAATATAAGAATCTAAATGTGATATGTAAATATATGCTAATTAATGATCCTCTCATATAATGAATTTGAGTAAAACAATACTATTGCTTACATTATTTGATGTCTTACGAATATTTTTAAAAGACCTGTAAATGTATATGATGAATAAAGATTTGCATTGCATACCTGTAGTTTTCCATAACTCATCAGGTTACGACGCGCATTTCATCGTCAAAGAAATTGCTACCGCGTACGAAGGACATGTAAAATTACCGATAACAATGAAAAAAGACTTTTTTCAGACGTTGAACGCATCAACTATCTAGTTTTCATTTATTAATTTAACTGTATTATGATGCGAAATTTCTTTTGTCTTCACGAATTTACAATTAAAATCGCGAAAAATTGCGTTTACATTTTGACATTTTCCTCATTCTTTACATATTTCCTCATGTATTTAAGATTATTCGCAAATCAAAGATTTTTTTTCTCGCTTTGAGTTAGAAAATCTAGAAGTGACTGACCTGAAGTATTGATAGCTAACTAAGAAGATTGATATTAGCAGATGAAGACTTCAAAGTAAGTCAAAACGAGCAATTTAAATAAAAACATTCTTGTATGTATTATATTTAAATCATGTCTATAATTTTTTGTGTCTGTTAATTGCGCTTACTCTCATTATACCTTTTTTTAAATTTAGTGTCAATGAATAAAGACATATGAAATCGAATACTATCAATATTGAGATTATATAGAAACGGCGCTATTTATCTTAATTTAAAATTAATTGTTAATTTTCCTTTTTGTTTAAAATAATATTTTTATTTCTCTTTAGAGAATAAAATTTTTAATTTTTTGTTAAACGTTTATGATAATAATAAAATATAAACATTAGCTATACGCATGGATGTATGCAGGATTTCGATCGGAAAGAAGGTGAAATTTACCTTCACATAAACTTATTAAAATACGCCTGTTTTAAGATCTGTTTTTAAGGATTTCAGAGAACTTTCTTAATATTTCTTCAGCTTTTTTTTTCGCGAGCACCGTTTTTATTGTGCATACTTAGTTTATTGAAGTGATTTTCCGACGTTGTTGATTGCAGATTTTCTTTTTTGCAATATATTAAAAGACCTTTCAATGATGCTCGTTGTGCACAGTTAGACTAAAGAAATATACAAGGCATTTCGTTATTGGGAAGAAAGTTTCAGCTTCTTTTAACACTTCTGCTAATTTCAATTCTTTAAGTTCCTTTTTTTAAAATTTTTTATTCCCCTAGAAAATGTACGATAATTCATTGTGAAAATTATTTTAATTATAATAATAATTAAAAAAAACTGTGTGCTTTTCTTTTTGAAATTTTTCTTTTTGAAATTTGAATTAAAGTTATCTCGATAATATGGAGAAACGTATGGTGAAACTGTGAAATCACGATATTAAAAATTCATATACGCATAATACAAAAATTCTTTCTTTTTCTTTTCGTAAAACTTTTTTTGTTATAACGTTCGCTTTAATTTTTACCTCATGGCAGAAAAATGAACTCCTTTTATCATACAAATTTTGCCCGACATAATAGTGACGGCTACGCAGCATACTGGAACAAAGTTCCTTGTAGTAGATAAAACATTTCATGTTTGAAATGAAGCCTCATATAAGAGACGAACAGAATAGTCGAGGACGAACGATGAGCTCGCACAGAGTGAGGCAGGGAGTAAAACATGTTCGCTTGGAAAATGTATCATCATCAACCATGTACAGGGTTAGCCATATTCGAAAGATCTGGCCATATTCGAAAGATCTGGCAAACACTGTAACTTTTGACAGAGATGTTAGATCGAGTAACGACGTTTCCCATGATTGAAAAAAAAAACATCTTTCCGTCGAATATGGCCAACCCTGTATATGATATAATGAATACTAAAGTAGAATTTAATATAATCATGATTAAAATAAGTGACCCAGGTGAATTCTTAGAATAAAAGCGATACAACGAGGATATGAAACGTGCAAAAATTAAATTTAAATCTACATTATAATTAATTAATAAATCGTCTATTATTATAATATCTATTAATTTTATAAAATATCTATTAATTTTATATATTCAAATTTAATTAGAAATAATTGAAGTTATCTACTGAGTATACTACTGTAGTATTTCAGAATGTAATAATGCAAATTAAAATAGATGCTTCCCCAAAAAATAGATTTTTTAGTATTAAATTTGCTTGTTAAACATTTCATTTAAAATTATATTGGTTACATACATATGAAACTAGAATTGTTTTTTAACATCGAAATTTAATTAAATTTTTATGATCGAATTGAACGTAGAAACGAAAAATTATTTTGTGCGTTTGATCAATTACGAATATTATACCGCTGTAAAAGTTGTTTCTATAAAAAGATTTACTTTGGAATATTTTTTACACGCATATGTGTATATTTCTTTTGATTACTTCTGTATAATTTTTCAGTTAACTTTTTCTATAGCGAGCTCTAAAACTCAATTTACTTATAGTGATTCCATTACATGAACACAACATCTCGATAAACTTATACAAGTTTTATTTCAGAATTTTGTTTTTTCATAATTTTTTATCAATTTCAATTCCAATATTTTTATAAGTTTCAATTATTCTTTAAATATTGTCAAAGTCAAATGTTCTGGAAAATAAATTATCATAAATTTGCATACCAAAGAAGTAGCATTACTTAAAAGATAAAGAGCAATTATGATTAAATCTCTGCGAGATTAGTTGCACATGCGATGTAAAATATACAGGGAAACAGTAAGTAAAATGACACACGCAATAAAGAGAGACGCCCATAATAGGAGCAACAAGTGCATTCAGATTTCCGAAGTGTTGAAAGAACAAAGCACTATCGCGTGCGTCTAAAGTTTTCGTGAATAATCCGAGATAATATTTTTTACGATTTTTGTCTTGAACAAAATTTAAAAGAATCTTAAAGGAGAACTCAGTTCTTTATAGATATCTTACTGAATCTCAAGTTTAGCTTGTTCGAAATTGGTTAAAGTGTCTTTCGATTTAATTTTTAGGTCTCGAATTAGAAGTAATTGAATTAAAAGATTTCATATATTCGAATAAATTAATTGAGGTATAATAAAATTGTATTTTGCATATGGAATAGAAAATATAGATATATGTAAATATCTCAGAAAAATTGATTAAAGATACATAAAATGCAAAATAATATTTTGTATTATAAGAATTATTTTTAAGAGAAAATAAAATTAGAACGTAAATTGAATATAAACAAATATTTAAATACAAAAATAGTATTTTTGATAAATACTTCTTCAAATACAAAATACTATTTTCCCATTTTATTTAAAATCCTCGCAGGAGTAGGCAAAAAACGTTTCAAAAATTGTATCATGTACTGTGGAATACAGTTTCTGATAGGTTGAAATTCTTATTTACTGTTCTCTAATTATTCTTCCTTTAATTATACAGAGCATTAATTCTTACTCTTACTATCAGTATCTTATTATCTATGCCATTTGCATTTAATGAGAAATGAATGCTGAGACATAAACGCTATATATAGATTAAGTCAATAATGATGCGGTTTTTATAAAAAAAAAATGTTAATGTTAATAATAATTTAAATAAATTTATAAATAAAATACAAAATACTTTTAAAAAAGTATTTAAGTGCAAAATGCAAAGTACTATAAAAAATATTTGAAAATACAAAATACAAAATATATTCAAATACATATTTTAAATACTTGTATTTCAAATACTGCCCACCCCTGCATTGACATACGTTTCGATTTTTATTTTCGCCAGGATAAGTCATTAGCAAATATTCAACATTTTGTATAATTCTAAAATATGCAGCTGTACCTCCGAACTGGTCGAAGTTGTACTGTCGGCACTGTCGGTATTAGCAATGGAAGAAAGCTGCGAACGTGTGCTTCTTGGGGCCCATCTACCTTTGATTATCGCTACTCCTGTCATAGCGCCGATCTTAGTAGCTGCGCTTCCGCTCGATGTGTTCCTTGATGTGTTTTTGTCGCCAGTTGCAGCACCACTACTGCCACTTCCGCCTCCGCCTCCGCCGCATAATTCCAGGACATCGCCCAGAACCTCTGACAATTTGTCCGGCACTTTGACGAATGTATGTAAAACTGTCTGAGTTCAAGGAAGTTGCGAGACGAATCTACTGGCTTGATTCTCGATTTATTGTACCACTATTGTTTCCTTGACAATACGCGCAACTTTTAATTTAACACGACGGGAACTTCTCTGGGATAATTAACAAAAAGATATCGATGATTCGGATCTGGCATAAGCTATTTACTGCTTTTGTATGTACCTGTAATCGTGAAACCACTTTGTGGTCATTCGCGCTAAACACTTGCGATTCCACTACTTCAGTAATCAATTCTGGAGTACTTTACACGATTTTCGAGCAAACACAAAAGTTTACATTCGCGTCCAGAGTATTTGGAAAGTGACGTAGTTTTCCGAATAAACTATTAGGAAACAATTCGAATTCTTCTCGACGTGGAATAACAATTTCACAGAAAATCGCATGTGAATCTCTATGTCTTTTTTGATAAAAATCAATATTTATTTACTCGCTTGACTATAATGCAAATAAATTTTCACATAAACTAATAGTATAAGAGCTTTTAGTAGAAGTGCTATTAACATCCTCCGTCCACTCCTCTGAAGCTTTTATTATAATATTACAAATATTACATAGCGCATTGAAAGAAGAATCTACCAATCCAAATAACATACATGTTGCATAAGATATCTAAAAGATGTCTTTAGATATCTTATGCAACATAAATGTTATCTGGAAAATAGATTAATTGAAAATGAAGATAAATTATTAAAAATAGAAAACAATTAAATGCATATCTAATCCGCTATATCTATTATTAGAGTTTGTGATAATTGATTCAATTAATATATACTTAAATAATTTTGCATCGACAAATAGTATTTTCAATATTTCGCATAGTTTCTTATTTTGTTCACTGTCAATAAAATCAGACACATTAATTAACCATTTGAAGTATAATAAAGATACATTTGGCTACAGCATAATTTATTTTCGTTAAATCAATTAGCTATGTTATGATATTGTCGTACATTTACAGCCGATTAATTATCTCGTTACTTTATCTGGAGCAATTCAGATATAATCCCGCACATCTATACGTATATACTTTCATTACTAATCGAGATACATTTATACGATTAGTTTGGATTTTTCTTGAAAATCCGAAAACTTGAAAAAAATTAAAGCATTAGAGACATATATTGTTAAGAATACTAGTTTAGCTTTTAATACAATATATTAGGTTTTTGTCATAAAAGTATTAGATAGTTCACAATAATTTATTTAGCTTATAAATTTGAAAATGTGAATGATTAATATACGCTATTAAAATTGTATTAACTACTGCTTTGATATTAAATAAAAACTAATAAACTGCCGAAACAATGTATAGATAATAATACAGGCCGAAATAAGTTTTGACAAAAATTGCAGTCTATAATCCTAAAATTTTTGGCATGCTAAAAACAAATCCATAGTCCAAATTGCTCTATCACGTTAAATTTTCGAGATGTTCTAATTTTATAGTTCTTAAAAAAAAAATCTATTCATTTTTGGAATAAATAGATTCAAATATTTCATAAATCAGATGTGAAGGAAAGATATGAGTAAGGAAAAATATTATTTACTGCAGATACTGAAAATTTATAGTTCACGTTACGATACTATAAATTTTCTGTACTTGCAGGAATGATGAAACACAGCTTATGATCCATTTATAAAACCTAACAGCTGATTTTCATAGATTTTTTTTATGCTGAAGTCAAATCCGCAATCCATATTTCTCCATCACATCAGATTTACGAGATATTCGAATTTGCCCAAAATGGACCTTTTTGGAATCTTAAGATTAAAATATTTCGGAAATTTGATGTGATGGAACAATTTGAGATATGGATCTGCTTTAATCATGCCAGAAATCTTCAGGATTATATACCGTCGTTTCTAAGTAAAAAACAAAATATTTTGTGTAGGCTTGTGTAATGATATTCTGTAATATTTATTGAACACAGCTTTATGTCCTGAAAGATATTAGTATAATATATTAGTATAAGATATTAGTAGAATATTAATTTTATATAATGTATTGTATTGTATTGTATTGTATTGTATTTACATTTCATTGAATTTAATAAAAAACTACGTAAAATTTTTCTATGTAGAAAATTATTCCTAAAGTTTAAGTTGTTAACACATGTAATTTAGTACTCGAAATTTATTTTTTCTTTCTTATCTTTGAATATTATTATGAAGAAATTATTAATATTATTAAAACTCTTATACTATTTTAATTTTTTTTCCAAATGTTATATCAATTATTGGATTTGTTCGTCATGAGGATCATTGTAATATAAAGCATTTAGTCAAAAAAGAACTCTAAATTGATTTTCAATAAATACTATGAAAAATAAAAAAGGCGATACTGACTTTCACATGCCATGATTATGCCATCGATAATTATTCTAATCGACCAAAATTGATTTTATTCTGATTGACGTACCTACTTAGGTTCCTCGAAAATTATATTATTGTTATCTGGAAATAGAATTAAGGAACTTAAATCCAAGCCAAATAACGATAAAATTATATTATCATTATTTGGCTTGATTTTAAGTTCCTTAAAGACAACATTTTTACAATTATTTTTTTTTGTATTTGTCCCTTTTTGTCCTACTCTACAAATTCATCTTGGTCAACAAGACATTAACAGAATTCTCGCTCATCACAATCGTTCATCACATTCTCTGTTAATCGCATATAAAACTGAATAAAGGGATATCTGATTTCATTATAGTTCAGCGGTCGTGCACGGCCACAGCTCGTTACTCTACTCGTAGCCCGATCCAATTAATTTTACGTCACAGCTGCCTATTTTCTCTCTCTCTCTCTCTCTCTCTCCATTCCAAGAACGAAATAAATGTCTAAATCGAATAACGAATTACGATTAGTTAGATGCTATACTGACATGATTCATTGTCAGTCGCCCGAATAGTAACAAGCGAATAGCTTCGGTGACACGCAGTAATGATTAATTGTATTTTTACCCTCGTTAGGATCTCGATACACTATTGATTGTATAACGATCGCGATTTACAATTATCACCCAATCACAATTTAGATTCATTCAAGCACCCTCACATATGAAAATACGAGATATCTTTTATCGATTTTTGATCCCGTTCTCGGTACGTCTATCACGACCTGACATGGATGTGTGTTACTAGGTATCACTGTACCGCGATACTGGGCTAGCCCGACTGACTTTATACGCGCCCGACCATTGCCAGGGCTCGTGCACCACCAGAAAACGATTCGCTGTTGAGCATAGCTGGTAGCTGGGGGTAGTGCTGGAAGTTGGGGGTGGTGGGCGGCTGGTTTCATCGAGGGACGCAGAGAGAGAGAGAGAGAGAGAGAGAGAGAGAGAGAGAGAGAGAGGGGATGGGAGAGAGAAATCCTTAGGGACGAAAGACGGAAGAGACGATGGATATCGAGCATGAAGATGAGACAGGAAAGGTGCGTGCGTCGCAACAGGTTACATCTCAGGGACGACAACAATTTTGGGGAGAAAGATCAGGGCCGTTTAAATCGGGATTGAAAAGATGCAGTGCATCCAGGTGATCATCTTGCAAGAACGGCCATCTTTAAAAACAACCGATTTTCATATTGATTGGAGCCGTGGCGATTCATTTAGATTTAATGAAAATTGATATAAAGCGTTTGATAAAAAAGGGACGCTCTGCACCCGTAACATAAAATATAATTTTACAATTTTACAAATTAATTGAATTTAAACAGAAATTAGACAATATATATTTATCATGTTTTATGCATTTATCATGTTTTATAAAAACAAATCAAAAGAATTTATAATGTAATGGTCTCACCAATTTTTTTTTAAATTGAAAAATTAAACTAGAATTATATTCTGTACTTATCGTTAAAATTTAATACTCTCCAAGTAAATGGAGATTTAAAAAATATATAAAAGATTATAGAATATTTGAAAAGAGATACCAAATATATCAATCACAAGTTGAATTTGTATTTAATTACAGCGAGCGAGCGAGAGAGAGAGAGAGAGAGAGAGAGAGAGAGAGAGAGAGAGAAAATTAAGCAGAATAATTTATTTTTTAAATACCATAGTATTTATCATGTAATCAAAGAATATATATGTATAAAATTTGACGCCCTACGCCAAATTAGACTTGCTATACGTCAATTATTAGGCTTCCATGAATGAAAGATTTTTATCAAGTTTTAACTCCCTATTCTCACCATTGCGAGAATGGCGTTAAAAATATATATTTTTTATTATAATTTTTTTCTCTTTTCTAAATTCATGAAAAATTATGCAAAATATCGGTGATGTTCTATTCATCAAAAAACATTCCTGGAATTTTTAGAGATTTTTAGATTATTCAAATTTTTTAAAATTCAAGAAATTAAAAATTGCTAATATATTTAAGTGAAATTATCGAGTAACTAAATATTGAAAATTTATTATAGTTTACATTATGTATATTATAGATTTTCAGTAATGAATAATGGAATGCAAACAACTCCCCATCGGCCTTGCATCACGCGACGTGCGCTGGCGACCTCGAGTGATCATGCTGGATGGTCGCATTTCGCCGCGCACTTGGGTTGGAAGAATATGCATTTATTCGGTGATCTTTAATAATTAATGTTGGTTACTATTTTTTGTAAAAACTGCCAAATAATACAGGACTTTTCAATTCAATTTAGTCCGCTCTATCTACGTATGAACAGTGTTACACCTAATATCAAACATACTCTATATGTTTTATAAATTTTATATAAAAAGATTTTATCTTGAAAGCTTATTAAAAGAATTCACTCTAAACTTTTAGCAGCAAAATTTTTATTACAATGAGCTGAGATATCACTCCAAACATTAGTAGTAATTGAATCACTAAATCTGCTGCTGCAGTGAATTTTATTGCAAGAGAGGTGAAAAGTTCAATCAACTAAAGTTATTGTTAATTCGTTGTTAAAAAGGAATGAATTTGGAGGTTTTTTTAATAGACCGAAAAATATCGCTCCAAGAGAAGTATAAATGATTTTTGCTTAATTGTGAACAAATTATTTTTTCTAAAAAAAAGGACATATAATTATGTATTATTTACTATATACTATTTACAACTTCGTTGTAAAAAGTTTCATACGTTTTAATTTTTTGAAGTGAAATTTTATTTAAAAAAAATTAAAATACTGTCACTGAATTAAAGATATCACTATTAAAGATATCGATATTCTTAATTTGAAGAGTTTGTATTATCAATATTGTTAGAGTTCGATTTATAAAAAAATAATCTTTCACATCGTTTTTCACAAAAACCATTGAATTTACTAAATTATATAATTGAAAAGTTGTGGACAATATAGGAAATAGTTGTACTTAACTTTTGAAGTAAGAAATAAATATAAATTTTATCAGATAGATAAAAGAAAGGCTCAATAATGCTATGTATTTTATAGTGAATCCATATACCATTTTTTAAGATTAATTAGAATAACTAATTTTGCAATTACAAATCGATAGAAAAAGATAATATTTTAATAAAGCATTATTAAAGTTTCGATCTATGTAAAAAGTATAAAATGCGAAAAGGTGCAATATTAGGGTTAGACAAGGATGGGAATGCATGCAGTTGAAAGTGTCTATTTTAAAGAAGTTACTTTAAAATAGACACTTCAGGCAGTTGCTCCATAAAGAAAGATATGAGAAAAAAGGAATCACAGACATAAAATATAAAAAAAGATTATACGTAGGCCAGTATTCATAATCGGTTCTTATATTTAAGACTATCTTAAGTACAGTCTTAAAGATGTCATGAATCAATCAGAGAACTATATTAGCAGCTTAAGACATTACTTAACATGGTCTTAAAATAAGAACCGACTATGAATACCGACCGTAGTTAAGAAATTCCGCAGTAAAATAAGCACATTTTGTTCGCTTAATGTACAAATATTATTTATAGATTAATTGAAATCAAATAGGACAATATATGCAAAAACAAACATATAACTTAAATATTTATATAATATATGATAAAATAAAAATAAAACGTGAAGAGGTTTCTATTGCAATGGTAGTGATAATTAATTCTGCAATCAAAAGATATTGTTTCAAAATATACATTAATAATAATATACATTAAAAATATATGCGTTATATAATCTTAACTAAATAATATTTAATTTTCTCTTAAATTTATAGCTAAATATATATTATAATTAAAAGTCTGTTTGTCTCCTTTTTTCTTACTTTTAATTACATTTTTTAATAGTGTTTTCGACCCTAGCGGGTTATCAATTTGAGTTGGATTACATTCTATTGGTTGACGTTACATGTTCTACGAATAAGAGAGCGTACAATGTCATTAATCCAATCCAGATTGGTGCAAACCCGCTCAGACCGAACGTTATTAAAAAATAAAGTCAAAAGTAAGAGGAAAGAGGTAAACAGACTTTAACTTAAATAAAAACATTACTTTTTATAAAATATGACTTTTTAAAAAAATTTATTTCATAAAATTATGCACAAGATATGAAAGACACAAACTAAAATTACAGAAATGTATGAATTAATGGAAATTTTATGGAAAACTTGTTTGGACATTTTAGGCCTATTCTTGTATATCCTAGGATTATGTTTATTTGTCACAAGAAAATTATTTTGTCTATGCAATTTTACCTCATTCGCCTTAATAATAACTAATTATTTATTTTTTAAGGCATGTTCATCTCTGACATTTATTAATAGCTTTCTTTAACAGTAGTATAAATGTAATAGTAGTATAAATATACTTAAATGTTAGAAAGAAATATCTTTAAAAACGTTAGGAAAGAAATACAGACGCTATCGACACACGAAAACACTTGGCAAAAGTGTTAGATGGAAGAGAAAATGTCAGGTACTAAATATATCAAATGTAAGTCCAGTCTCCATCAACAATTCGTATTATTCTTGTTAGTACTATGTGAGGCGTAAAAGAATCTCGCAATGGATTAAGAATGCGCGTGCGCCCGCGCAATTGAACGAGTCTAGCTGGAGAACTTTACGCTCTGCGCCACCGGATATATCTCTGGCATGGCGCAATCCACCCCTAGTGAATCCGAATCCAAGGGGTAGTTTCTCCGTGGGTAGCGCTCGTGACGCCGCTCTTCAATGTTCATGGTAGAGGTAAGAGTGGCAGGCAAGCCCTGATTCCAGGCCTCGATTAGTCGTGCGAGATACGAGGGCCGCGCCAGCTTATTGCTGTCACGCTCGTACTCGTGTTCGTTGTCACCGCCTCAACGAGTAGCTGGCAGCAATTTATAAAGAATAACCGATTTATAATATCTGAATCGTCCCAGTCCCTCTCGTCCATCTAATTATTATTTAATCGACCTAAAGCGAGAAGTGATTCAAAACGAGAAGACGAAACGTGGAAAATGATGATGCTAGAAAATGAATAGAACACATAACCGGAGTTTCGGTATGCAAGATAATGGAGGACGTCCAACGGATAATAGTGGCGATAGTGACCAGTGATTTCGGCACGATTAGCAGCTTAATTGATCAGGTGCGGTATCCTGCTGATTCACTGACTACGCCGCGCGTGTCCGCCCACGAATATCCTCTTCTCACCTCAGCAAATGGTGCTGCTTTCTCTATTCCACTTTCCTTGCCACCGTCCTGTTATCTCGCTGCATGCTCCTACACTTGTGCCGCAGTATCGGTTGATTAATGACATAGACGGCTGATTAAGAAATCCAACACGTAGCGAAGGATAACGCGACCTCGACGCGTATTATATCGGGAATATTTTTGGTTGATTATTCATCATGTATGTCATTTGCTTAGCACTTAACCGAGCAATCGAGCTATAGAATATGAAGATATAAATAGATGTTCCAGAAGTGAATCGGTCGAATCTTGATAGAAAGGTGAGATGAAAATCAGTTCATGCCTTATTTATTTATAGAGCTCTTTTAAATAAACGCTCTTTTAAGTTAACTTTCAGATTTATTTTAAATACATAAAATTAAATATAATAATAAATCACTTATAAGTATGAGAAGTACCACTTTGGATAAAAAATTCAGCTTCTTATATTGTTATTACTTAAGTATTTGATAGGCTATAATTAAATATTTTATGACGAACATACTGTAACACGGTTTATCATTTTTTGTTAGTATTTAAGATCAACCTACTTTGTGATATTTCTCTCTCTTTCTCTCTTTCTTTCTCTGTTTTTCCCTG